AAAATGGAAAACTAAAAAAGCAATTATTCTCCGCAATCAAATTTTTTCCCACAATTTTTTGAATGAAAAAAAAATTGCGAAAAAGGAAAATTAAAAAAGCAATTATTCTCCGCAATTTTTTCCCCCAATTTTTTGAATGAGAAAAAAATTGCGAAAATGGAAAACTAAAAAAGCAATTATTCTCCGCAATCAAATTTTTTCCCACAATTTTTTGAATGAAAAAAAAATTGCGAAAAAGGAAAATTAAAAAAGCAATTATTCTCCGCAATCAATTTTTTCCCCCAATTTTTTGAATGAGAAAAAAATTGCGAAAAAGGAAAATTAAAAAAGCAATTATTCTCCGCAATCAATTTTTTCCCCCAATTTTTTGAATGAAAAAAAATTGCGAAAAAGGAAAATTAAAAAAGCGATTATTCTCCGCAATCAATTTTTTCCCCCAATTTTTTGAATGAGAAAAAAATTGCGAAAATGGAAAACTAAAAAAGCAATTATTCTCCGCAATCAATTTTTTTCCCCCAATTTTTTGAATGAGAAAAAAATTGCGAGAGAGGAAAATTAAAAAAGCAATTATTCACCGTGATAATCACTTCACACATTCCCCCACTCTTCCACACCCCGACTATTACCTAATAAAAACTTGGGTGTCTCACCGCCACGTGGAGTGAGGCGCGCGCATCGCTAGCTGAAGAAAAAACAGATAAAAAAGAGCTAGTAAACCGACGGAGCAACACGCGTCCAGTGTTTTCAGTGCCGCTTTGGAAGTCAGATCGATTTTATCGCGTTATTACCCAACACACACGCACCAAGTCCGCACGTTTCCGCGGAGATAATTGATCCTAACCTCCACGTGCGCTAATGATTTTCTTCATAAATGGAAAATCCTTTTTTTTCCGATAAAAAAAAAAATTGTTTTGACTGTTGCGCGTAGTTTTGCGGGCATGGGGGGATCCCGCACGCACAAAGGGACTCGGGGACAGCATCCGGAAGTGTGTCAAGGTCCCGTGGGTACGGAGGCAGTGGACAGTGACAGTTGAAAATTTTTTTTGATTTTTTTTTTTGAGTTTTTGCGAGTTCTGAGGGCGCGAAAATTCAGTCGAAGGGAGGGGGCGCGGGAGAAGGGGTGGATGGGGTCCAGAGGTGCCACGAAAGGGTCTACGGTAATAATTTTTTTTTTAAGAATTAATTTTTGAGCGCAAATGCACTTTTGAGTTAATTTTTGAGAATTTTTTGGAAATTCAAAAATTTTTTGGAGTCGAAAAAAAATTCTGGAGGGGGGGTTGTGGGGTCCAGGAGTACCCCAGAAGAGTTATTTACTAATTTATTTATTTATTAATTTATTTATTTATCTATGACGCAAAAAAAATTTTTTTCATTTTTTGAAATTTTTATTTTTCCCCTGAAAATTACCCCTGCAAATTCCCCTAGCTCTCCAATGACTCAACTCGGGAAACCCCGAAAGCTATTCAGTAGTTCCCGAGATATTTAAATTTCTGTACGTAAACACGAGATAAATTTCATTTTACGACTGAATTTCCTCATTTCCGAAATGTTTTAAACCTCCAACCGCTCGAGTGAAAATAAAGGTCATTGGTTCACCTAATGCGAACAGGCTCCCATGGCGTGAAAAATAACTTTGACACTTCTAATTAATTTTATGATTTTTTTTCCAATCTTATAAAAAGAGAGGCGATGGTGCAATCGTAAATCGTAAAGAGTCGATTGTTTACAATATTTTTTATTCAATCTCAATTCTTCATAAAAAATAGTGACATTTTTCCTTAGGACCGCATATTCTCGAGATAATTACACAATCACATAATTATTTATTTAATCAATTTTTTAAAAGCTGAAAACACTGAGTTATATTTATAATGGGTGATCTTACTCCAAAATACAAAACACTGAAAAATATTCTTTGTTGAGAATGTAATTATCTAGAAAAGAGGTCTTTGATATTTTCCCCTAGGGGCACGCGTGCTCCAGATCGTTGTAGAACGACAGAAAGTGTCATTTGACTCGATTCGGCAATTCCATTGTTTCTACAGTTCATAAGCATTGGATTATCTCGCTAACGAGAGATCCGACGTCAACATATTGGAAGGAATTTTTTTTTAATTTCAATTCGCTACGGAAAATTGTCCTGTGCCGTTTTCCCCTAGGATCGCACGCGTTGGAGACCATTATACAATTCAATTTTTTTTACACTGTATAAACATTGAATCATCTTGATAATGAGTAATTCTACGTCAAAATGCTGAAAGAAATTTTTTTTACATTTCAATTTTCTATGAAAAAATGTGACGTTTTCCCCTAGGATCGCGCGTGCTGAAGACGATTATACGACAATTCTATTTTTGTACACTTTATAAACATTGAATTACCTTGATAATGAGTAATCCTACGTCAAAATGCTGAAAGAATTTTTTTTTACATTTCAATTCTCTATGAAAAAATGTGACGTTTTCCCCTAGGATCGCGCGTGCTGAAGGCGATACGACAATTCAATTTTTGTAAACTTTATAAACATTGAATTACCTTGATAATGAGTAATCCTACGTCAAAATGCTGAAAGAATTTTTTTTTACATTTCAATTCTCTATGAAAAAATGTGACGTTTTCCCCTAGGATCGCGCGTGCTGAAGGCGATACGACAATTCAATTTTTGTAAACTTTATAAACATTGAATTACCTTGATAATGAGTAATCCTACGTCAAAATATTGGAAGAAATTTTTTTTACATTTCAATTCTCTACGAAAAACTCCTGTGACGTTTTCCCCTAGGATCACACGTGCTGAAGACGATACGACAATTCAATTTTTGTAAACTTTATAAACATTGAATTACCTTGATAATGAGTAATCCTACGTCAAAATATTGGAAGAAATTTTTTTTACATTTCAATTCTCTACGAAAAACTCCTGTGACGTTTTCCCCTAGGATCACACGTGCTGAAGACAAATCAACAACCATTATTTAATCTTCATAAACATGTGATCATCTCGATGACCAGTCATTTGACGTCAAAATAAAAGATGTCTCGAGACATTTTTTGTCAAAAATTTAATCATCTACAACGAATTTATCCCGAAATTTTCCCCTAGGATCACGCGCTCTGAAGATAACTCCACATTCAACAGAAGCGTGTTCCGTTTAATGGAGGGAAAAAATTCGTATTTCTTTTTTTTTCAATTCCAATAATTTTGTCACTTTATTTGCTAACAAATAGTTTCCAGAAAGATCGATCCCCGGGCGTTTCGTAATTTATGCGGCATTTCAACCTGCGTCACGTATATCCCCCCTCTCTGTCTCTATCCCCATTTTGTGATGAATGTCAATGAGAAAAAAATTGCTCGTGAGATTGTGCTCTGACAAATGATTTTTTATTCCAAGTGGGAAGGGGTCGCGTGTGGGCGCGAGACACGTCTGACCGCCTCTGACGTGCTCACTCCGTCCAATGAGAGATTGGAAATTTTTGATTATATCATTTTTCGAGCAGATTAGTGAGAAATCGTTCACATTCGGGGGAATTCGAGTTTCAGAAATTTTTTTGGGAGGAACGTATGGGGCAAAATGGGCTTGTGAGTAGTGATTTTTGCAGGGAATTCTATGTACTTTTTCATAGTATTTTTAAATTTTTGAAATTTCGAAAAAATTTCGGGAAATTTTTGAGTTTTTATCAATTGTTTGTTTCAGAGTCCTCGTCTCTTGGATCTTGAAGATTTTATTTTACGGGATCTATGGGGTAAAATGGGGTTTATGGGTAATGAATGTTCTGGGGAATGTCATGTACTTTTTGAAGGTATTTTTTATTTTTCAAAAATTTCCGAATTTTTTATGAAATAATGCAATTTTGTTGAATTTCATCTCTTGACTTTTGCCGATTTTTTGTCTCCGGGAATTTTTTGTGAAAAATCTACGGGGCAAAACGGGTGTAATGAGGGTTGTATATTGTGGGGGAAATGCATTCCTTTTTTCTGATATTTTCAAAAGCTGATAAGAGCTGAAATATTCGTTTCCCTTTTTTTTCTCGTTATTTTCGTGAGGAATTCACATGCGACCGTTGACCCACTTTTCAGACGTATGTGCTAATTAATCTAGAGTTAAAAAAACACCGGACGAGATGGATTTATGGATACTACCGTGCGTTGGCACATTATCCATCGCTGTTTCATGCGTCAGAGTAATTAAATCAATTGACGAAACAAAAACAAAACAAAAAACGAGGAGAAAAATAGTTTTAAAAAAATGATATGCATTTTTTTTCTTGAGAGAAAAATTAACGAAGAGGCCTTAATTAATTAAAAGTAGTGATAATGATCATATCAATGTCGATTATCAATCACTTATGTGAGACAAAAGAGACAAATATTACGGATGATGACGATGAAATAAATAGAAAGAAAGTTCAGAAACCGTCTAGACATCGGGGAAGTACGCGACGTAGTTGAGGGACCGGTGGTCGGGTCATAAAGTGATAAAAGCGGGTCAGCTTGGGCCTTTGGTGTTGGAGTAGTGGCCAAATATTAAAATAAAGAATATTTGGGAATGAAGAGAGAGATAGGATGAGTGGAAAGTAGAGGGAGAAATGAAAGGAAAATTGAATGAAAGGGACAAGGATAGAACTGGAGACCTTTTAGTATTTTGCGAGTGGAAAATAGAGTGAGAAATAATGACCGCAAAATTGAATGAAAGGGACAAGGATAGAACTGGAGACCTTTCAGTATTTAGGGATGAGCAGAAGTGCGAATGAATCAGTTGTGACCCGGAGTTTGAGATATAGTCCCGCGACCTTTGACAGAGAATCAATCGCAGAGTAACGACGAACTTTCAGTTCATTCGATGTATTTGAATATCTTTTTCGTTGTTAAGTAATGTCAATCATATCTTGATAATAAGAGTATGGAGATGAATACATTTATGTATTCAATTAGTGGATGCTCTTCGGACCCGACCTTGTGGTGAATTGATTAATTCATGGAATTAATTTATCGATTTCAGATGTCAGAATTTCCCGCTGACACGGAGAACGGCGATATGCAGGCCGTCATGGAGAATTTTCAGAAGAAAAATAATTTGGTCAGTGGGAGGTCACATCACCTTCCACAAGTCACCAGTTCCTCACAGGTAAAAAAATTAAAAATGCAGACGCGCGAGCCTCTAAACAAAAAAGTGTATTTTCCAGAAATCACAAACTTTCCCTATTATTCCCCAGAAATGACGCGGAACTACCTAGAGAAATTCCTCTAGGGATAAAGAAAAAAACTAGGACAAGAACTATTCTCCCGGAAAGTCCCCAGAATTCCCAAAAAATTCGTAGGGAAATCTCAAATTCTCCCGGGAAATTCCCCAGAAACTTTCTAGAACTCTTCAAAAAATCCCCAGGGAAATCCAAGAATTCATTAGTGAAAATACACCATTTCATGTCAAACTAAAAAAAACAAAGATGAAACCTGGACTGTCCTAGGGACTTTTCACATTAAAAATCCCTAGGGTACCCCTACAATTTCCCCCCGGAATTTCCCTAGAAAAGAATCATCGAAAAATTTTCAATTCCCAAAACTAAAATAAGAAAAAACATAGTTCGGTCCAAATTCGGGGACCCTAGACCCAGAAATCCCCCAGAACCCCCCTAAAAAAAGTCCCTAGAAAATCCTTTCATTCCGCCTTTTCCAAAAACACCGGCAAAGACGTCAGAAAATTGTCGATTTCTTCCCACAAAAGGCCGTTATCAATTAATCTTCTTATCTCCTTCCATAAATCACTCAAAAACCGATATGAAGCCGTTATCACCCCACACATGTGCGAGTTTCCGGGAATCCCCTCCCTTCCCCCTCTCCTCTCCGCGGCCGCCACAAAAGCGCAAAGAATACAAAAAACAGTCATCAAAAATTTTGACGGAATGGAATTTCCAAAAATACGTAAGTTCTCCGGAACTCGAAAGTGTGGCATAACATCCAAAAATATCCATACGTCATCGTTCGGGGTTGTGTTTTGTCACCTGGATGACTCTTCGCCTGGGAATTCCTCGGAATCCATTCATTTTATTTGCATTGACGAAATTCCGATGATTGTCTGCATCAATTAAAAACCAAATGGCCACATCGATTTTTCCCGCCTCATTAATTGTTGAATTATCTCACGAACGAGTGGTTCTAAGAAAAAATGCCATAAAACATTTTTTATATGGAATTTTCCCAGCTACAAAAAACGTTATGTAATATTTTCCCCTAGGACCACTCGTTATCGAGATAAATCGACATTCATAACATCTGTCCCATTCGACCCATCGAATTTTCCACATTTTCTCCCATAAATATCGCGAGAACCGGAGGGACTAGAGAATTTAGTATGGCGTCCTTAAGAAACTAGGGAAATTTCCGATGAAAATCCCTCGTCATGACCCCATTTTGCCCCACATCCAGATCCCCCACATCGAATGCAAATTTTGAGATCTAAAATTTGATTTCCTGCATGTTTCAACACCTTACGGGGCAAAATGGATTCACCACCAGTGTTTTGAATCGTAAATTTCCCCAACTTTCCAACGATCCCTCTTTCAATTATTCATCTCCTCAAGTTCCTGAGAAAATGATGATTTTCCCTGACTAATTGAATCCAATCACGTTGTCCTCCACCTTGAGGAGCCCTGGCTCATCATCAACTCGTCTCACACTTGCCAAAACTCCCCCACCAGCCACCTCATGACTCAGAGTTCCTCGACGATTTGAAAATAGCCCAAAAATTGAACTAAAAAAACGCATCATCCACGTTAACCAATAGAACAACCTCAAACATCTAAATTCACTCCACCCGACTCTATTTTTCCCCCAGTTGCTGAATCAGAGTCAGAGCAGTAGTAGCACAAGCAGTACAACAACAAGCAGTAGAGTTGCTAAATCCTCCCAGAGGATTTTAACATCATCATCGTCGAGTGAAATGAAAGCAAGCTCCATGAAGAGTGATCTTACTGAACTCAAAAGGGGAATTTCTGAGATGAAAAATATTTCGACCAAGTTTTCAAGGCTGAGGAATAGTATGGAGAATCTCGTTGACAGGTAAATAATTTTTCATCAATACTCATTTTTTTCGATTTTTTTTTTCATCCAATGTTGAGGTTATTTTCCCCTTTCATTTGAATTCTTGAGTTGACCTGGAGGTAGAAGGATAAAAATGAAACCATTCGATAGATCGGAAAATTCTCTATGAAATTAAAAAAAAGACGATTTATTTTGCCCCATTAGATCCAGAGATAATCCCAAATCAAATCCTATAGATCGTTGATCGATATTTTCCAAGAACTAAAAACCGTTTTCTTATTTTTCTATCGAACATCTGAGTTGACCTTCTGATAAAAAGATTAGATTACGAAATATCAATCCATTTTGCCCCAGTACTTCCCGACAAAAATCGCGAACCAATTTCCATACATCATTTATCGATCGCTAGATCCCTTTCACGTTTTGCTCGATATCTCGGGTTCTATGGCCTCAAAATGGACCATTTTTTTTTTATTTCGTGTGAAATTTCTAGATCTATCGAATGAAGCCACCCTCGACCCTCCCCCACTATTCCTTCCCGCCGAAACCCCCATCATTCAAAAATTCAAAAATGTGAAAATTGATTTTCACTCATAACAGACGATTTCCCCACGTAAAAAGGACGAAAAAAATTGATAATAATCATGCTCATGATCCTCTGACACTAGAGAAGGCAGTGTCACCGAGGAGGATGACATGTCGGAGCCCCTGGTGACATTTCCAGACCCAGACACACCCCCACCGGCCTCTGGGCCCGGAACACTCACAGTCGGTTCTCCAGCACAACTGGGGACATTAAATCCCCTGAACAATCTTCACAGTATAACACCGACAATAAACATGTCGACAATCGGTCTGACCGGTGGCCAGGAGACAATGAAATTCGAACAAAAGAAGATGACGAGCGCATCCAAGACCAAGGTGAGTTGACACCCAAGTGTGAAGACATCTTTCAGGGAAAAAATTCGGTCGAGTGACGAGTGATTGGTATTTTTTTTTGTACTCCGGTCAAGGTCGACATCTAGAGTCGCATCGGCTGCCAACATTTTGCTTGTAATTCAGATCGACAATGATGAAGTGGAAGCAATCGATCGATTATCAATTACCAATTTATTTATTAAGAGTTCAGACGAAAGACCATCGAAACCTATCAATGGAAGTATACAAACTGGACGATTTCACCTTTTATTGAATACTAGGGGGCTATGCCCTGCACATATGACCCCCATATAATCCCCATATGACCCCCATTTGACCTCCATGATCCTTATTCCGACTCTTGTGACCCTTAGTTTCTGACCCCCATAACCCGAGTTTGGACCCTTACTGTGACCCTTATACAGACTCTAAATCTGACCCTTATTATTCTTATTTGGACCCTTAATCTGACCCATAATCTTGTGACCCTCAATCTAACCCATATAACCCTTGTTTAGACCTTAAATCTGACCCTTGTTATCCTTATTTGGACCCTTAATCTGACCCATAGTCTTGTGACCCTTAATCTGACCCATATAACCCTTATTTAGACCCTAAATCTGACCCTTGTTATCCTTATTTTGACCCTTAATCTGACCCATAATCTTGTGACCCTTAATCTGACCTATATAACCCTTATTTAGACCCTAAATCTGACCCTTGTTATCCCTATTTGGACCGTTAATCTGACCCTTAACCTGGGCCATATGACCCTCAATCTGACGCTTGTGACCCTTTTTTGACCATTATTCTAACCCTTATGACCCTTATTCTGATTCGCATGGCCCTTATTCTGACACTCATGACCATTATTATGACCCTTGTGACCCTTATTCTGCCACTCATGACCCGTATCATGACCTTTGTGACCCTTATGATTCTTTTTCTGACCCTCATGACCCTTATTTTAAACCTTGTCCAGCTATTGGCCTGTTTACTCTATACAACTTTTCTCAATACGAAAATCAATGATTTAAATGCAGAAAATACAGAAAATTCCCCAGAAAAAGAAAACGATCTATCATTTTTCTACGATAACTCGAGAACTGGAAGAGATGGAGAAACGAAACTCGTATCATTGGAGAGGTGGGCAAATTCCCGGTAAAACACACTGATCATGAACCCATTTTGCCCCATATATTGTTGGAACATTGAGGAGAAACTTCGGGGGAAAAATGTATCCCATGGAGTTTTGAAGGGAAATGTATAAATAAGATTTAATTTTTTTTTCAGGTTGTGACTGATGGATTCAGCGCAGAGAAAGCAACAGCAAATAGCGCAGAGATGCGTGCACTCCAGACTGGTGATGTTTCATACAAAGAGGAGAGTGCGGCGACTGCTGCACGCGCACGAGTCGAGGTCGACGGAGTTTCGGCGGAGAAAAGCGTCGCCGCAGCACGAGTAAGTATGGAAAATCTTTTTTTTAACTCATTTTCTTCGGAATTTTTTTCTAATTTTCCATCTCTTCAATTTCCCCACAAAATTAGGAGTTTTCAAAGAAAGTCTTATTTGAATTTAACGGGGATTTTTGATGATTGATTTGTGTCAAGCGAAGTTGTATATATCTCTCTATATTTTAAAAATCCAAATCGACTTCTGGTGATCAAAATTTGATGCTTGAAATTAAAACTCCACAATTAAGGGTGACGAAGGTCGCGAGGGTCAAAACAATGGTCATAGGGGTCAGAATAAGATTCACGAGGTTCAGGATAAGGGTCATGAGGGTTAGAATAAGGGTCATGAGGGTTTGAATAAGGGTCATGAGGGTCAAAATAAGGGTTCCGATGGTCAGAATAAGGGTTACGAAGGTCAGAATAAGGGTTAGAGGGTCAAAATAAGGACTACGGAGGTCACAGTAAGGGTCATCAGAGCCGAATAAGAGTCACGAGGGTCAGAATAAGGTTAGGAGGATCAGAATAAGGGCCATGAGGGTTAGAATGAGGGTGATGAGGATCTAAATAAGGGCCACGAGGGTCGGAATAAGGCTCATCAGGGCCGAATCAGGGTCACGAGGGTCGGAATAAGGATCAGGAGGGTCCGAATGAGGGTCACGAGGATCAACATAAGGATCACGAGAGTATAATGAGGGTCAGATTCGGGTCACAAGGGTCAGAATAAAGTTGATGGGGGTCGGTGAGCGAAGCGAGCAGGGGGCGTAGCCCCTAGTAAATATATATATATATATATATATATATATATATATATATATATATTTGTATACTTCTACGGATAGGCTTCAATGGGCTTTTCAAGTCTTAATAAATAAATTGAAATTAGAATTAAAAAATGTCGACATGAGAAATGCGGAAAAGTGCGGCATTTCCCAGGGACACGCGGAAAACATTGATGGAAAAATCAATGGCCACGTGTGAGTCACGTCTGGGTTGCGACGGGCAACCCCGATCCTCCCCGGTCGATGAACACCCCACTCCTTCAAATGCCCTAGAACAACCCTCTAGACTGCAGTCTAACATTTCGCTCCAATGGCGACAGTTTACTCGCGATCATGGGCTCCAGGTTTACTCGAATACCTCGAGGATTATTCCCGGATATCACCAACAACCCCAAACCATCGTCAAGGTCGTTAAGTCCGTGTGATCAGACTGATGTGGTTCGTAAATTAGTGACGTCTTTTTTCATTTATTTCAAATCAGTCAGCATTTTCTTGAGGAAAATTAGAAAATTCCCACCTCTATTTTCCCTCAAAAACACAATTTTTTTTTCAAAAATAAAAAACGACAATTTTTTGAATAAAGAAATAGCGAATTTTCATTTCCAATTAAAAAAAAAATTATTTTTACATTCCTTTCCATTTGTTCTTAATTTCGGGAATTTTTCTCTTTCTCAAAAAAATGATTAAACAAACAAATCCAAATTTCTTGTTTTTCCGAAAATGAATGAAAAATAAATTTTTCTACAATTTCCCTATTTTTTTTCTTCAAAATCATATTTTTTAATATTTTTATTTTCCTTCTCTTTGAAGAAAAAAGGATTTTTTTAAATAAAAAAACATTGGAAAAAAATTAAATCGTAAGAATGCATTAAACCCTATTTACCGAGATGTGACGCCTCCTCTCGATAAATATAACCGTCAGTCTAAAGTGGGGAGGTCCCCGGACGCCTCCACTACTCATCACCCAATTCGCATATCCAGTCCTGGCAGCCACCGACACATGTCCCATTCTCCCCCTCCAATCGGTCCATTTAAATCGTTTTAATATCCCAAACATTGAGTCAGTAGCAATGAGTCCACCTTGGCCAGTGAACAGGCGTCTCCAGCACGATTTTCCCCCCTCCAGGGGGCATTTGGTAATATCCGGAAGCCGTCCGTGCCGACCCGCGAGCCCCCCAAAGCCGTCGATTCCATAAAAAAAAAAACAAAAGGAGTGAATCGTTGAAATTCTTATCCCCGTGACGTACGCTATTTAATTTTAGAGGTCCCCCTTGTTTTCCGAGACGAGATGTCACGATTACACGTGTTTCTATCATTTATTTCGTGAGGAAAACAACGAATAATTTTCATGTTGCGAAAAAAATACAATTTTTTATTGACATTTTTTTTCATTTTTTTTTCCACAAAGATAGTGACTCTGGGGTCGTCATTAGGTGGTCATCATCGACCCCATTAAAATAATTAATTGATAATGTGGATGATTTCCAGGAGCAGAGGAGTCTGAAAACTGGTGATCTGTCTCATCAAGAGAGCAATAATGTCGCGGCATCGAGTATGAAGCTACAAAGTGACTCTTTCAGTTCAGAAAAGGTAATTGTTGAAAGATAAATAAGTACATGAAACTGCCTGGCATTATTCAATAATAAAATAATAAACGGAGCGGATTGCGACGGGAATGCGTTTCGTTTGAGTGGAGGTATCTTATCTGCAGTTATATAAAAAGATATGAGTATCTGGCCGGATGATATTGGCCGCGAATGAGGCACTAAGCAATGTTAATTGGATGATAATTCGCTAGGCTTCATTGACACATTCGGGGAAGTGTAAAAAAGGGAAAATAAAAGTTTGCGGTTCGGACTAATGATACGATAATTCCCAGAAAATCTGTGATTCCTGGCGGCTGTTCAACAATTCTTGGGTCAGTTCCGTGCCGACTTCGGTGGAGGAAACGCCAATTCTCCTGGTTTTGTCGTTTGATATTTTTTTTCCTCTATTTACTCCTCTTTTATTTCGCTCTGACGTTTCGCGCGCCATTCGCACGTCGCGAACCTCCGAATTCGATCCGCGACGCATGAACAGGCTGCCAGTGGCTATTGATACACTGCGCGAGGAGGAAGTGAAGCTGTTCAACATGAGAAAGTGGAGTTTGGACTCGACAATGGTAAATAGCGAAAACTAATTTTTTGGTCATTTGAAATTTCGCGGGCCGGAAGTGGGGGGATTTCCTCGGCGGAACACGGATTTTGTGGGAAATTTCCCGCGCTTTCCAATGGCGCAAGATCTTTCTAAATTGGATCAACGGTTCTCGAGATATTCAGTGTTGAGTGAAAGGAAACATGATCGATTTTTAGAAATTATTTGTTGCGACGGTTTTGTGATGATTCAGCTGTTCAGGATTAGGCGGGAAAATTTTAATTATATAGATTCTTTGCCAAATTTCCCGCTCTTTTGAATGGCGCTGGATTTTTTCCGATTCGACCGATAGTTTTCGAGATAGATAGGGTAGAACTAAACTCTGAAATTTGAAATTTCAAGACATGACTTGTATCGATTTTTCGTCAATGACTCTGCGGTTATTGATCAACTTAATAAATTTTTCCTCATACCACTCTATAGCGGAATTTTCCGCTCTTTCGAATGGCGTCGGAATTTCCGCGACAGATCTATTACTTCCCGAGATATCGGCATCTGAATTTGAAACCAGAATCTCCAAAATTTGAACGTTTCGCAGAAGGTTTACGAAGCTTTTGAAAACGGCGCCAGTTGATACCGCAAAAATATCCCAAATATATAGATCCTGTGCTAAATTTCTCGCTCTTTCGAATGGCGTCAGATTTGTTGCACTACGACCACTACTTTCCGAAATATCGCCCCCTGAGCTGACTTCCAAAATTCCCGAATCCGTCCAAAAATCAACCCAACTCACCACAGCTCCCGCTATTCCAGAAAGCAATGGCAGCCCAGCAGCAGCGTCAAACGGTCACTTCCTCTGGTATCTACAACCACGAAAAGCACATGGCCTCCTCCTCCCAATCCTCGATAACCTTCGCGAAAGGTGTAACCTCGAAATGCTCCATGATAAACGCAGCAAGTGCTGTCAACCAACTGATGAACGGCAAGCGTCCGCAAGAGGAAGACCTCTTGACGATGCCCCTGGACGATCTCGACCACCTCTGCTCGTCCTCAAAACAGTCCGACGTGGACCGGGCCCGGGCCAAGTACTCGGGCTTCCTGGACCACTTCGTGGACCGCCTAAAGTCCCTCGAAAACTCGAAGTCCCCAACCGCGCCGCTCCTCCTAAACCGCGTAAACGACATAATCCGGAAAGCGTGGGCGGTGCCGACGCACGGTCACGACCTGGGCTACACGCTCTGCAACACCCTCCGCACGCGGGGTCTCCTGGACCTCCTGGTGACCAACTGCATGGCGGCGGACGAAGAACTCCAATTCTCCTCCGCGCGTCTTCTCGAGCAATGTCTGACGACGGAAAACCGCGCCCACGTGGTGGATCACGGTCTGGAGAAAGTCGTAAACGGCGCATGCGTCTGCATAAAGAACACAAACTCCGTCGACCACTCGCGGGTCGGCACGGGTATCCTCGAACACCTCTTCAAGCACTCGGAGGTGACCTGCAGCGATGTCATCCGCCTCGGCGGTCTCGATTCCGTCCTCTTCGAGTGCCGGAAGAACGACGTGGAAACCCTCCGCCATGTTGCGGGCGCGCTCGCGAACCTCTCGTTATACGGTGGCGCGGAGAACCAAGAGCAGATGATCAAGCGGAAGGTCCCGGTCTGGCTGTTCCCCCTGGCCTTCCACAACGACGACAACATCAAGTACTACGCGTGCCTCGCCATCTCGGTCCTCGTCGCGAACAAAGAGATCGAGGCCGCGGTCGAGAAGAGCGGAACGCTGAACCTGGTCGAGCCCTTCGTGACCTCCCACAACCCTTACGAGTTCGCCAAGTCGAACCTCGCGCATGCGCACGGGCAGTCCAAGAACTGGCTGGAGCGTCTCGTGCCTGTTCTGTCATCCAAGCGGGAGGAGGCGCGCGCACTCGCGGCATTTCACTTCTGCATGGAAGCGGGGATAAAGCAACAACAGGGAAACGAGGAGATCTTCAAGGAGATCGGGGCGATCGAGCCCTTAAAGAAAGTCGCCAGTTGTCCGAACGCGGTCGCGTCCAAGTACGCCGCGCAAGCGCTGCGGCTTATCGGCGAAGAGATTCCGCACAAGTTGAGTCAGCAGGTACCGCTCTGGAGCACCGAAGACGTGCGGGAGTGGGTGAAGCAGATCGGCTTCACCGAGTACGCGGACAACTTCGTGGAGAGTCGGGTGGACGGGGATCTGCTTCTCCAGCTGACGGAGGAGAACCTCAAGGAGGACATCGGGCTGACCAATGGAATCAGGCGGAGGAGGTTCACCCGCGAGCTTCAAAATCTCAAGCGAATGGCGGATTACAGCAGTCGGGACAATGGCGATCTCAATTCTCTTCTCCAGTGCATCGGCAACGAGTTCTCGATCTACACTTACGGGATGCTCAATGCTGGCGTTGACCGGGACAACATCAGGGTCATCAGCGAGGATCAACTTCTCACCGAGTGCGGCATCACCAACAGTATTCATAGGCTTAGGATCATGGACGCTATCAAGAATAGCCAGCAGAATCAGCTCAACTCGTGCGAGAATCAGAGTCCTGACAAGAGTTTGGATGTCTTCGTCAGTTACCGACGGAGTAATGGCTCGCAACTGGCTAGTTTGTTGAAGGTTCATCTGCAGTTGAGGGGGTTCTCGGTGTTCATTGATGTCGAGAGGCTTGAGGCGGGCAAGTTTGATAATAACTTGTTGCAGAGTATTAGACAGGCGAAACACTTCTTGCTGGTGTTGACGCCCAAGGCGTTGGACCGCTGCAGTCGGGATAACGAATGCAAGGATTGGGTACACAGGGTGAGTAACGAAAAATTCCCTAGGAAAAGTCCCTAGAAAACACGAAATTTTCCCGAGGGAAATGGACATTGTGATTGCATCTTCATGTGAGAAAAAAAATGAACCGTTTTCAAAATTCCCTAGATATCGTAAAATATGACTAGGATATCCCTAGAAATTCAGTTATATGCAAATCGCATATGGTTGCCAGCTGAAAAATTATCCCCAGAAAATCCCAGCAATATGCTCGATTATCACTAGAATATCACTAGATGGAAAAATACCCTAGGGGTCGCAAAATTTTCCCAGAAATTGGGGAGATTACATGTGATCTGGAGACAAAAGATCATCAGGTCCTTCCGAAAACTCCCCAGAAATAAATTATTACTAGAATGTCCCTAGATGGAACAATATCCTAGAGGTCACAAATATCCCTAGAAATGGGGGAAACGACATGTGTTCGCCCGAAAAAATGTTCAATCCCCTCGGAAAATATCCCCAGATATCCCTAGATGGAAAATTTCTTGATGGATTTTTTCAATTTCAGGAGATTGTCGCGGCGCTTCAGTCGCAATGCAACATCATTCCGATAATCGACAACTTCCAGTGGCCCGAACCCGAGGAGCTTCCCGAGGACATGAGGCAGGTCTGTCACTTCAATGGAGTCCGCTGGATCCACGACTATCAGGACGCATGCGTAGACAAATTAGAAAGGTTCGACAATCGATGAATCTTCTTCCGTCGTTGTAGAAATCTAGGGAAATTCAGGTTTTAGTCTGATTTCTGGGGTTTTTTCGTCATCAGGTTTATGCGAGGTGAGCTTCCAGCAGGCGCATCTATGTCAGGTGTCACTAGGGGAATGGTGTCCAAGGAGGCAACAACGCCGAGTACTCCAGGCAGTACCAACATGAGACATCCACCTAGTTACCAGAGAATGCACAGCAATGAGAGCCGCGGCAGTGACAAAGACTCCTCAGGTGGTAGAGATTGACTAGAAGGCCCCCCCACAGCTATTCCAAATAGGTAATATATTTTTCTTCCCATCAGTTATTGATTTATCATATCTATTAGCCATATCGACAATCGATTCTGGTCATTGGGGAAATCTGGGGTCGAAAGTGACCCCGTCGATAGTCAGGAAAATTTTGCGAGATATCGACGAGTCCATTCGATTATTGAATTGATGTTGGACATAAATTTCACGAATAAATTCCCTAGTAACCCTAAAATTTCCCTAGGATACTCAAACTTTGGACATAACCACCATACGAAAAGTAACTAGACTTTTTGAAAAACGCCTAGATCTTAGAACATATTACTAAAATATTTCTTGCAGAAAAAATACCCCAGAATGTCCCTAGTCAAGAAAATACACTAGAAATCCCCTAGATGAAAAGGCCCTGGAATAGCCCTGATCAGAAAATTCCCTATAGTGTGCCTAGATGAAATACTCTAACGATTATCCTTGGGTGAAAATCCCCTACAATATCCCTAGAAAATTCTCCAGCAGACTATAAGGAATAAATTGGGTTTTTCTGGGGGAAAACTATTTTCCTGGCTATCGAATAGAGTCATCATCCCCCACCCATCCTCCACAAAAATGATGGAAATAATGGTGGAAATATTTTCCTTACATGCAGTACGAGTCAGGAAAACTGAAGCTTCTGCAATCGGTTGAAAAAAATATTGAATAATAGGTCAGTCAGTTATGACTACTGTCAATGTGTTCCCTAGCATGATCTGTAGCCCGTCGTACCCTCCGAACGTAGCGATGTTGATAATTTCCCTAGACGAAGCAATAGCTAATCTTCTGGGGATTTTTTTTTTCTAGACTGAGGAAGACTTCGAGTCCTGGCTGGCTGATGAGCATCCCGCCAACGTCTCCGCGTCTCAAATTCGTTCACACACATCCTGGAAGGGACCCAATTCCCCAGCGCCCACCCAGGCATCCACCCACACCCGCGAATCGATCAAAGTCCCTAGAACTTTTGGACGAGCCTGAGAACCTGGAGAAAATTGAGAGGCTATTCGCCTCGAGGCCTCCACCTCTCCTGAGACCTCGCTCGAGGAGTCTAGACGGACTCCTAGACGATGATGCCCAGGAGAAAACCCCAGAAAATCTTAAAAAATCCCTAGACGAACAAAAACCCGAAATTCCTCCAAGAACATTCGAAACTCTGAGTTTATCTACATATGATAATTTCCCAGACACTTCCAAAAAGTTCCTAGATATCGGGGAAAACCACCAGAATATCCCTAGACGTGAAAATTCCCTAGGAGGGATTGAGGGTTCAGAAAAAAGTGAACAATCGGGTTTTTCGGAGAGGAGAAAAATCGGAGAACATTGTGGGGGAGGAAGTGACCCTGGAGAAATTCCTAGGAATTCCCCAGCGACCCAAATATCCCTAGAAACGAAGTCCGGTGAGGTTGGGGATAGAGAGGATGGGGAAAATGGGGATGAGCCGTGTCCATTACCAGTGCCAAGACTGAAATCTCGACAAATTCGTAACCAGGCAGCTAAAATAGCACAAGAAGAGCACACGAGAATATCATTGTCCGATGATGACGATACAATTGACTGCTGTGATAAAAATAATGAAAAAATTGATGATAATGTGAGGTTATGTCCAAATAATTCGGAAAATGATGGAAATTTGGATAAAAAATTTTTAGCAAAAGCTAAGAGCTGTGGGGATGGACTCGATGAGAATGAGTCATTATCTTCATTCAATGCTAGTGTTAATTCACTTCACGTTGACAATGAGCAAAGACGTAAACGTAATTTTATGAATAAATGTGTTAGTAAAATGAGATCACTCATTAAAAAGTGATGTGTTTAGGTTATTAATTTAATTGAAAAAATTTGACGAGGGGTTGATGAACAATTCCGAATTCAGTTGTATACTCTGTGAATTTTCTAGTGACTTTTTGATTAATGAGTGGAATTTGATTTTTTTTAATCGGAAAACTATTTGAATTGTAAATTTTAAAAGCTGGGAAAATCTAGGAAATTTCTCAGAAAATCCTCAGGAATTTTTCTAGGGAATTTCCCTGGAGGCGTTCTCAGGACAATTCTTGGATAAAATCCCTAGGGCATTTCTGGGGAATTGACGTGATTCTAGGGTGTTGTCCCTAGGGGATTCCTAAAAAATCTCCAGTGCCCCCCAGGGGAATTCTTGCGGAGAAATTTCCTAGGTAAAATTCTCTGTGTCATTTTTTGACAATTTTATCTGTTGAATGTTCTGTTGCTGCTTTTTATGTTGAGTATTAATGTGTAAAAATGAATTTTTCATTGAAAAAAAAATTTTTTAATATTTAAAAAATGGAAAAAACTTATTAAAAAAATTGAAAACCCCTCGTGACAAAAACGGCAGCGAGACTATGTAACAATTGTGCCTGAATCGTGTCTTAAATCAAAACATTACATTGTTCATTTAATATTATTCTACCCCAATTTTATATTTTATTTTTATGAACAAAATTTAAATAACACGAGGTGCTTTATATTTATATATAATTGTAAAATAATATTCCTTTCCTCACCAACTGAGAATGTATTATAGCTATTTTAATAGTCGTGAATTATTTTTAAAAGAATTTTAATGTCTCAGTTCAAATGATTCGCAAGAATTCGTTGATTAGGCAGTTTACTACCGTTGAATGACGTTATTTAATGAATTGATCTATCGATTGGACTGTTGATTAAGCTGCTGACGCGATAATCTATCCTCGTAAACCGAAAATTGAATGAGAAAATTATTTTTCATTCTCTTCTTACGACTATTTTATCAAATTGTACATTAAAAATCAATCAGCGATTGTAATTAGTTTTTACGGTTGTTTCGTACTACGTCAGAGGATTTTCCTTCGTTTTTTTTGTCAGTGAAATTTTTATTATCGATTTATTTTTATTTTTACCAAAGTTCAGGAGAAAATAAAGGAAAAATCAGGTGAATAAACATGAATTGATTAATTTTTATTATCTATCCCCCCATTTAAGACACTTCACAATTGCCCAATGATTTATCTAAGCGAAAACATAAGAAATGGAATAAAACTGTTTCAGAATAGTTCAACGGCCAACATAAATACATAAAAAAATATAGATCGCGGCTAATTATTTTTTCACGTAAATACTTCTGTGGTTTCATTATGGAGGGTCTTGGTATGATGGAAAAAAGTTGTTATGCCGCAGCGCCATCTTTCGCAATTCTAGAAAATTCTAGATTTCTCTGGGAAATTTGAGAAAATTCTCCGGTTTTCTAGAAAATTGGTGAAAATTCTCTGGATTCCTAAAAAATTCTATAAAATTTTCCAAGATTGTGAAAAATTTGAAAAAAAATCCGGGTTTCAAGAAAATTCAAGAAAAAAACAAAATAATTTTGAATCCTCTTGAAAATAGAGATATCTAAACATTCTAGAATCCTCTGGAGAATTCTTGAAATTTCGTGAGTTTTAGAAACACAAGGAAGGGTTTTCTATGTCGGAGAAAATTCTAAAAAATTGTAGAAAATTCGTAAATTTTTTTTTCAATTAAAAAAAATCCTTCAGCTTTCTACAAAAATTATAAAAAATTCTCCGGTTTCCTGGAAAATTTGAAAAAAATTCCGGTTTTCACGGAAATTAAAGAAATTTCTCTAGGTTTTTCCAAAATATTCTTGAATCCTCTTGCAAATAAAGACATCTCAAAAAATTCTAGAACCCCCCGGAGAATTCGGAAAAAATTTAGTGAGTTTTAGAAACACACAAGAGAGTGTTTTTTACATAGGAGAAAATTCGTCGTGCAAAAAAAATCATACCGCCAAAATCGTAGTTTCCCGCCAGAAACAGTCGCCCCATGAGAACCCCTAGCCTTCGCAGCGCATCGCTGCATGAGAACCCGCCCGCTCCCGGTGTCCACTCAGTAAATATGGCGGATGCCGAGGTGAGTAAATCACGTGGAATCGTTGAAATTTCAAAATAAAAATCTAATTGACCATCAAATGAATGAAAAATCCTCTCGATCAACAGTTGTCGAGGGCCCTCAGGGATTTACCGAATCGTGTGCAGACGTCTAGCAAAAAGGAGCGTCAGGAAATCATCCAGAATGTCATCAGTGTATTGTCAAACCCAGGTATGTGTACATGAAAAAACTATTTCAAAAATATGGAAGAGAGAATTGCACACGCCGTGTGGAGCCCCAACGATTGTAATCGATTTAAAACTGTTTTTCGGGCCTGAGTCGAGCTGGAGTGTTGGCGGGAGATTTGAAATAATTTTGGTTTCAGGTCTCAATGAGAAGATTGTCAGTGGAATATGCAAGGTTGTATCGATCACTCTTCATCGATACAGGGACACAGCCTCGCAGTCTTATGTCAGAAAGTTGATTGTTGAGTTGCTGAAGCATCAGCCTGATGCCACCATCAAGGGGATGACTGGGGTCATTGTGGAGCAGGCGGGGTGGCATCAGAATGTTGTGCCCACGTGAGTATTTTTGGGTTTTTTCTTTTGGGGATGTTGAGGGTGAAGTGGGGACGAGGGGGTTTTTAGTCCTTTGTGAAGACTGAATTTTATGGATGATAAAAAAAGTCTTGGCATTTTGTCCTGCAATTAATTTTCGGGGAGATGATTACGGTTTTGAAAAGGATGCTTAGTTATTCATTTTTTTTCTCGTGAAGAAGGTCGAATAATATAATTCTGGGAGATAATCTTAATAATAAAAGATTTGGAAGATAATTTCAATATGTGATAATAGCATTTTTTGTTGGGATTTCGTTTCTTTACGAGGAAAAGTCAAATTTTCTCTCAAAATCAATTTTTGGGGGTTTTAGTCTTTTCTGAAGACTGAATTGTCTGGATGATAAAAAAAGTCTTGGCATTTTGTCCTGCAATTAATTTTCGGGGAGATGATTACGGTTTTGAAAAGGATGCTTAGTTATTCATTTTTTTTCTCGTGAAGAAGGTCGAATAATATAATTCTGGGAGATAATCTTAATAATAAAAGATTTGGAAGATAATTTCAATATGTGATAATAGCATTTTTTGTTGGGATTTCGTTTCTTTACGAGGAAAAGTCAAATTTTCTCTCAAAATCAATTTTTGGGGGTTTTAGTCTTTTCTGAAGACTGAATTGTCTGGATGATAAAAAAAGTCTTGGCATTTTGTCCTGCAATTAATTTTCGGGGAGATGATTACGGTTTTGAAAAGGATGCTTAGTTATTCATTTTTTTTCTCGTGAAGAAGGTCGAATAATATAATTCTGGGAGATAATCTTAATAATAAAAGATTTGGAAGATAATTTCAATATGTGATAATAACATTTTTTGTTGGAATTTCGATTCTTTACAAGGAAAAGTCTCAAATTTTCTCTCAAAATCAATTTTTGGGGGTTTTAGTCTTTTCTGAAGACTGAATTGTCTGGATGATAAAAAAAGTCTTGGCATTTTGTCCTGCAATTAATTTTCGGGGAGATGATTACGATTTTGAAGAAAAATTTTAGGATTCAATACACGAAATATTTTTTTACTCCTTTCTAAAGGTTGAATTGTCTAGATGACGAGTGGACATGTTTTATTGGCAATTTAATTCTTTTAAAAAGTGTCATTTTTTGTTATTAATTTTAGAGAAATAATTACAGTTTTGAGGAAGATCTTTCGGAGTCAATTAAAAAAAAATTGTTCTTGTAAGTTGAATTATCTACATATTTAGGCTTTACTTGAAATTTCATTATGTCGAGATTTTCCAACATTTTTAGGCTGAAGGTATTCTTTATGAATGAAATTAGAGAAGTTATTTTATTGTATTTCCTTGAATGCTGAATTATCTCGATAAGAAAATGGTTTAGGAGACAATGTGGAGAGACATTTTTTGTTGAAAAATACCTAACCAAATTATTATTTTAATTATATTAAATAAAATGATTAAATTAAAGGTACAGAAAAAGTAGTTTGAGATTCATTGCTACAATTGTTTGTTCCTGTGTTCAATTAATTTTATGAGAGATGTTTGATTTGAAGAATGAATTTTTTATTGGAAAAAGTTCGGAGAATTTCTATTGAATTTAACTCTTTACAAAAAAAATTCTTTTGACATGGATGATTAAAATCTATAGCTCCTGGTACAATTGAAATGACAGAAGTCTTGTTGATTATATCATAGATCTGATTTTTTTCTTTTTCTCGAATCAATGATGACGCTTAAAAAAACGAAAAAAATACAATTTTTTTCAAAAAATTTAATGCTGCAACAAAAATGCTCTCTTAAATTTCCCCTAAGAGTGATTATTTCCACGATAATTGCAAAAAAAATTGTTTTCGTAGAATAATTTCGATCATTCCTAAATTTCCATTTTTTTCTGGAAAAAAGTGCCACGAAAACTTATTACCCCGTATCTACCGCAATCTATTAAAAAAAAAAACTAAAATAAAATTCATGCGTCAATTCACCTCTTTCCCCACTTCACCCAGGAAACATTTCCAAAAATATTCTTCACCATCAACAACCCCCCAAATTTATCTTCCAGCTGTAATACATCACTGACCGCGTACCAAGCGCTGAAATGGTCCGCCCTAACCCTCTCCGCGCTCTCGAAAACCCCGACGTACGCGACCTCCCCAGACCTCCCGAAACTGCTCGAGTCCCAGGCTCTGCTCTCAGCCGCGTCCCTGGCGTGTGCCCCGCGCCCCCTCCCCCCGAAGATAACGACGCTCCTGACCCACCTCTGGGCCGCCCTAACCCCTCCCCAGTTGGAGACCTACACAGAAACCTTGATCAACCTCCCGCCCTCCCCGGGTCAGATAATCCTCGCGAGTCTCCTTACGAGCCACCTAATAACCTCAAACAACGCGCCGCTAGCGGACACCCTAAAGTCCCCGATAATATCCACTCTGATAAAAACCACGATAAGCAGTAAAACAAAGCCTGACCCTCACCTGCTGACCTCCGCGTCACCCTTCCTCAAGCGGCTGACCTGCGAGGACTTCAAATCCCAAATCCTCCCAGCCCTCCAGAAGGCGATGCTCCGTAACCCGGAGATAATAATCCAATCGGTCGGTCAGATCCTCTCGCACCTCTCGCTGGACCTCTCTCCGTACGCCCTGGACCTCTCAAAATACCTGTTCGCGAACCTCCACTCGAAGGAGGACTCGGTCCGCTCGGAGTCGGTCCGCGCGTGCAAGGAGCTCTCGCTGAAATGCTCGGACGCGAAAACTCTAGAGTCCCTCCTCTCCTCCCTTTTCGCGATTTTCCACGGTTCCGAGGGCAAACTGACCCTCGCGGACCACAAGATATCGGTGCTGGAAGGCGCCGGCAATCTGAGTTACAATTCCGCGAGCGAAAGCGCATCCGAGAGACTCGCGGAATCCGCGATGACCCATTTCATCAAGGTCCTGGACACCGAGGTCCACGAGAAGACCCTCATCCACGCGCTGGAGATGCTCAGTCTCTGGTGCGCGAAATTCACGGCAGAACCCCCAGGAGTCCTCCTTGAGGCCTTCAAGAAGGGCATCAACGCGAAGTCGTCAACACCTGGTACTAGAACCGCGTATTTCAAAGTGTTGTTTCATATTCCAATCGTCGCGACATCTTCAACGATAACTCCGATACTATCGCAAGCGATCACGCGAGCTGTTCAACAGTCTGCGCAACCGTCCGCGGTTACCGAAGGTCTGATTGCGTCGCACCTTCTGTTGAAGCTTGTCATCGCGGGACAAGTGGAGAATGATAAACAAAGCGTCCTCTGGTCGTCGATCGACGACCAGATCTTCTTCTCGGATAAGTACCTAGCGTCCCTCAGCGACGAGGAAACCGTCCACCATTTGATGCAGTTCTGCACACTTCTGATATCCGAGTACTCAGACAAATTAAATGAAAAGTCCCTCAACGCGGTGCATCGGGCCGTCATCATCTGTCTCGTCTCCCCGAGCTCGGCGACGCGCAAGAAATGCGCGCCGTTGATGACCGGTCTTTTTACGGGTTTGAGCACCTACGAGCCGGGGCTCAAGAGCCTCATCAAGGAGTTTAACAGATACGCGAGCCTCGAGAAAGAGTGCAAAGAGGACTCTGGAACCAACGAGGCTAACGGACGAGCCCTCGCCGACGGGCTTCTCGCGATCTGTTCGGCTACATTCCTCCACGAGTCTTCAGCCCTTGAACTCGTTGGAGACGCCCTCATCCCCGCGCACCACCCGATAATCCTTAAATCAGTGCCGAATCTGTGGACGAAGATCTGTAAACACCAGAAGCTGACGCCAGAAGGCTTCTTCAACAGCTACGGGAACGAGATCCAAAAGAACTTCATCGAGAACTATAAACCAACGCCATCTTACGAGAATTCCCTGTCAACTATAGTCCAACATTCCGAGAAGATTGTCCCCGCATTGGTGAAGCGAGTGACTGAAGACCTCAACGACCTCGAGATCACCAAAGTCACCAAGGACGAGTACTTTACGTATCTGACCCCCGAGGGTGAGCTCTATGACAAGTCCGTTCTCCCCGGAACCGACGACAATGACATCCTGAACTCGATGAATATGAAACGCGAGTCCAAAGTCTATTCCTTCAAGGAACAGCAAGAGGAGCTGCAGCTTCGTCGAGAGTTGTATGAGAAGCGTAAGCGGGAAGGAAAGATAAAGGAGCAAAAACTTACCCCGAAGCAGGAAGAAGTGATCAAGGCTCAGGTGGCTCGTGAGAACGCTATCAGAAGACGGTTGAAGGACCTCAACGACAAGATCACGACCGCTGTGTCGATGGTGACGGCTGGAGTAACTGGAAACTCCTTCGCGATGTGTCTATACTTTCGGGATCTTCTGCCAAGTGTCCTGAGAAATCTAGACAGTCCGCTGGCAGCTCCAGTAATCACCAAACTGTATCTCGACCTGAGTAGGACTCTCCAGGTGGACGATCAGGGTTTGATAATCCTCGTTGGACATGTGACGTTGAGGCAACTGACGCCTCAATGCGACCTGGACCCCGCGTGGGAGGAGGAGGAGCTGGAGAAAGCGATCAAGAGGACGCTGAACTATCTCCACAGCATCACCGTGAAGGACAAGCGGCTTCTCAACGCCCCGGCCTTCTGCTACGTCTTCTCCTTCATCTCCAGGACTCTCACCACCTGGCAGGACGAGGGGATAATCACCCAGGGGCTCCAGATCATCCAGGAACATGCGAAACAACGAGCTGATTCCGATGACGGAAAAGATCCGCGGCATCCGCGATTGCTTCCTAGACGACAGATGCTGGATCTCCTGATCGAACTGATGAGTAACACCTCGGGACGGGTGCAGTCCCACGCGGTGGCGACTTTCCTCGATGTGGCGCACTCTGGTAGTGGAGAGGTTGGGGAGAATGGGAAGCAGACGGCCCTTGCACAGCCCAACGAGATCGATTCTCTCATCAATGCTCTGGAAAATCCAGCGGCATCTGTCCGCGATGCGGCTTTGCGTGCTCTCATGATAGTCAAAAAGAGCTTTCCTACGGAAATGTCCAATTACGATCAACTTTTGAGGCTCACACGTCGTTTATGGATCTCCAAGTTCGACGTTTCTGACGAGAACAAGGTTCTCGCGAATGACATCTGGGAGATCGTGGGCTTTTCCTCATCGAATGGTGAGATACTTTGTGAAGAACTGATTCAGGATGTCGCGCATCCTGTTGAACCCATCCAACAAGCAGTGGCTCATGCCCTGGCTAACCTCCTGGAGTCGAATCCTCACCTCCTCCCGAGTATCCTCGAGAGTCTTCTGAAGTTGTACCAAGAGAAACTCGCGATGATTCCCCCTAAGTTGAACGACTTTGGTCGAGTGGTTGAGCAGCCCGTGGACATCTGGGGGCCCAGGAGAGGTGTGGCATTAGCTCTAGCTCAACTAGCTCCATTACTAACCCCCGAGACCATCAACCCACTTATCCAATTCTTCGTGTCCACGGGCTTGGGAGACAGGAACCCGTCAGTCCGCCAGGAGATGCTGACAGCAGCACTGGCAGCTGTAGATCTCCATGGAAAAGCAAACATAACTTCGCTTCTCCCAGTCTTCGAAGACTTCATGGACAAAGCCCCGAAGATCGGCAGCTTCGACTCCATAAAACAGTCAGTCGTCATTCTCATGGGTTCTCTAGCCCGTCATCTCGACAAAGACGACACGAGGATCAAGCCGATCGTCATGCGTCTCATATCAGCCCTGGCCACCCCGTCCCAACAAGTCCAGGAAGCCGTCGCCAATTGCCTCCCGTACCTGGTCCCCTCTATCAAGGACGAGGCTCCCAAAATCGTCGACAAGCTCATGGATCAGCTCCTCAAGTCCGACAAATACGGAGAGAGGAAGGGCGCGGCTTATGGGCTCGCGGGCATCATCAAGGGAATGGGAATCCTCGCCCTGAAGCAGCTCGACATTATGACGACGCTGACCAATGCCATCCAAGACAAGAAGAACTACAGACATCGAGAGGGCGCCCTGTTCGCCTTCGAGATGCTCTGCACAATGCTGGGGAGGCTGTTCGAGCCGTACATAGTCCACGTCCTCCCACACCTGCTCCTATGCTTCGGTGACTCCTCGCAGTACGTTAGAGCCGCCACTGATGACACCGCAAGAGTCGTCATGTCAAAATTGTCCGCTCACGGCGTAAAACTAGTGCTGCCATCTCTGCTTGCTGCCTTGGAAGAAGACTCCTGGAGGACAAAAACGGGCTCCGTCGAGCTGCTCGGGGCAATGGCGTACTGCGCACCCAAACAGCTTAGCAGTTGTCTCCCCAGCATCGTTCCCAAGTTGATCGAGGTCCTGTCAGACTCACATACAAAGGTTCAGGAGGCCGGGGCTGAAGCCCTCAAGGTCATCGGGTCTGTAATCAGGAATCCGGAGATCCAGGCGATCGTTCCGGTGTTGTTGAAGGCCCTTCAGGATCCCTCTCGCAAAACTGCCACGTGTCTTCAGACCCTTCTTGACACCCAGTTCGTTCATTTCATCGACGCACCGTCACTCGCGTTGATCATGCCCGTGGTCCAGCGCGCGTTCATGGACAGATCCACCGAGACAAGAAAAATGGCGGCACAGATCATTGGAAACATGTATTCGTTGACGGATCAGAAGGATCTGACGCCTTACCTACCGACCATCATCCCGGGATTGAAGATGAGTCTTTTGGATCCTGTACCGGAAGTTAGAAGTGTCTCCGCGAGGGCGCTGGGAGCGATGGTCAGAGGAATGGGTGAGAGCAGCTTTGAGGATCTTCTCCCATGGTTGATGCAGACCTTGACCTCTGAGACGAGCTCGGTAGATAGATCCGGTGCGGCGCAAGGATTATCAGAAGTCGTGAGGGGGCTTGGGGTCGAGAAGCTGCACAAGCTGATGCCTGAGATCATCAGCACAGCTGAGAGAACGGATATCGCGCCGCACGTCAAGGACGGCTACATCATGATGTTCATCTACATGCCGAGTGCGTTCACTTCAGAGTTCACCCCATACATCGGGCAGATCATCAATCCGATCTTGAAGGCGTTGGCTGATGAGAATGAATACGTCAGGGAAACGGCACTGAGGGCGGGCCAGAGGATCGTCACCTTGTACGCGGACTCAGCGATCATGTTGCTGTTACCGGAACTGGAGAAGGGATTGTTCGACGACAACTGGAGGATTCGGTATTCTTCAGTACAGCTGCTGGGGGATCTGCTGTACAGGATCTCCGGAGTGTCCGGAAAAATGTCAACAGAGACGGCTAGTGAGGACGACAACTTTGGAACTGAGCAGTCACATCTGGCGATCATCAAGGCCCTGGGTGCTGAGCGGAGGAACAGAGTTCTGGCTGGTCTCTACATGGGACGATCAGACGTCGCTCTGATGGTGAGACAAGCTGCCCTTCACGTCTGGAAGGTCGTTGTCACGAACACCCCGAGAACTCTCCGAGAAATCCTCCCGACGCTGTTCAGTCTGCTGCTAGGCTGTCTCGCGTCGACGAGCTACGACAAGCGACAGGTGGCGGCAAGGACCCTTGGAGACCTAGTGAGGAAACTCGGTGAGAGGGTTCTCCCCGAGATCATTCCCATCCTTGAACGCGGACTCCAGAGTGACCAAGCCGATCAGCGCCAGGGTGTCTGCATCGGCTTATCCGAGATAATGGCTAGCACAAGCAAGGACATGGTCCTCACCTTCGTCAACAGCCTAGTGCCAACCGTCCGAAAAGCCCTCTGTGATCCGTTACCCGAAGTCAGACAAGCCGCTGCCAAAACCTTCGACAGCCTTCATTCCACTGTTGGTGTACGCGCTCTAGATGACATTCTACCAACCATGTTGCAGCAGTTGAACTCCAAGGACCCAGCTGTTGCGGAGAACACATTAGATGGACTCAGACAAGTAATGGCGATCAAATCGCGTGTCGTCCTTCCGTACCTCGTGCCCCAGTTGACCTCTCCTCCAGTCAATACGAAAGCCCTCTCTATCCTCGCTAGCGTGGCCGGCGAGGCCCTCACCCGCTTCCTCCACAAGATCCTCCCAGCCCTGCTCACGGCCCTCTCGACCTCCCAGGGGACTCCTTCGGAGCTCCAGGAGCTGGAATACTGTCAAACAGTGGTTCTCTCCATCACCGATGAGGTTGGTGTCCGCACGGTGATGGATCAGCTGATGGAGGCAACGAAATCCGAGGATGTGTCTCGTCGTCGGGGCGCTGCGACCCTCCTCTGCGCCTTCTGCAGGGACTCCCGCGCGGATTACTCGCAATATGTTCCTCAGCTACTCAGGGGTCTCATCCATCTGTTCACGGACGACGACAAAGAGGTCCTGCAGAAGAGTTGGGAGGCGTTGTCAGCCGTCACCAAGACCCTGGAGTCAGAACAACAGATAGCGCATCTGGGGGACATCCGGCAAGCGGTCCGCTTTGCGGTTTCTGATCTCAAAGGTCAGGAACTGCTCCCAGGGTTCTGTTTGCCTAAAGGCATCACGCCGATTCTTCCCATCTTCAGGGAGGCGATCTTGAACGGATTGCCAGAGGCGAAAGAAGCGGCAGCTCAAGGGCTTGGGGAGGTCATAAAGCTAACTAGTGCGACTGCCCTTCAACCCTCGGTCGTTCACATCACGGGACCGTTGATCAGGATCTTGGGGGACAGGTTCAACTGGTCGGTCAAGGCAGCTGTTCTCGAGACCCTCGCGATATTACTCGGAAAGGTTGGGGTTATGCTGAAGCAGTTCCTTCCGCAGCTCCAGACGACGTTTCTGAAGGCGTTGAATGATAATAATAGGCAGGTTAGGTTGAAGGCTGCATTTGCGTTGAGCAATCTGATTATAATTCACACGAGGGTGGATCCGTTGTTCGCGGAATTGCATACGGGGATCAAGGGGGCTGATGATCCCGGGGTTAGGGAGACTATGCTGCAGGCGTTGAGGGGAGTTCTGACACCGGCTGGGGATAAGATGACGGAGACCATGAGGAAACAGGTGTTTGTGACGCTCAGTGGAATGCTCGGGCATCCGGAGGACACCACCAGGAGTGCTGTTGCTGGGTGCTATGGAGCTCTCATCAGGTGAGATTCTTGGCCGGGGAAATTTGGGGTTGACAACTACTTAACGGTCTATTCGTCTCCCATTAGAGGAACAAGCTTTCGAAGGTTGAAATGGGTTGAAAAGGGGGGTGGGTTATATAGTTGACAAGCTGGAAGGTTAAAATTTTGTGTTTGACCGGCTTCAAGGTCAAAGTTTTATATTACACTTTTTCGGAGGGGTAAAAGTGATTGGACTTTCATTGCAAGTGGAAGTTGTTCGAAATGTTGAAATACTATATTTGACCTTCTTTAAGGTCAACAAGGTGCCAGAATTATACTTTAACCTTTTTGAGGTTTAGAATCACACTCTGGAGTGTAAAAATCATATATTGCAAATTAAAATCATACAGGGATCAGTTGTCAATTGAACAAAATCGTAGATTTAATTCTCTTAAAGGTCAATGAAGGTCAACTGCCCTCGTTTGACCTTTTCGTGGTCGACATCATCCATTTCAACTTTTGAATGTAAAAATCATTCATTTCACATTTTTGAGAGTTACAATCATACATTTGACCTTTCCGGGGGCTAAAATCGTTTGTTTGACCTTTTTCAATGGTAAAATGAGTAAATTGACCTTTTCGACCTCGAAAATTATCCATTTTATTTTTTTATGGGTTAAAATTGTCCACCTGACCTTTTTAAGGTTTAAAATTATTCATTTGACCTTTTCAATGACCAAATCATTCATTTCACCTTTTTAAGGGCCAACATCATACATTTAACCTTTTAAGGGTCAAAATAGTTCATCTGACCTTTTCGACGTTTAAAACCATTCAATTGACCTTTTTGGGGGCAAAAATCATTCATCTGACCTATTCGACGTCCAAAACCATTCATTGAACCTTTTAAGGGGCGAAATCATTCATTTGACCTTTTCAAGGAAAAAAATTCCCAATTCTCAAGTATTTTTTCTCCTGAATTTCAAGGTGGTTGAGCCCCGAACAATTGAATTCAGCATTTAACGACAATCTACTATCAACCGACGTCAATTGCGATTGGACCTTGAGACACGGCAGGACAGCTGCCCTCTTCGTGGCCCTCAAAGAGGCGCCGCAGGTAGTTTACACACCCAAGGATCAGGAGAGGGTCTGCAAATTGATACTGGGGTGTCTTGCTGCTGACAAGGTCCAGATCGTGATGAATGGAATACGCGCCTGCGGCTATCTCTTTCAGCATCTCATGCTCCAGGGCGAGAGCATTCCCCAGGGGGTCCTCGGGCCCTTCGTCAGGTGTATGAATAATAATAGCAATGAGGTCAAACAGCTCATGGCTAGGGTATGCATTCATCTCGCCAGAAATGTTCCCAGTGACAAAATGTCGTTGGAACTCATGAAGGCTATTCTACCCATGTTGGTCAATGGAACCAAGGAGAAGAATGGCTATGTCAAGGCTAATAGCGAATTAGCACTCATCGCTGTACTGAGGCTTAAGCAAGGGGAAGAGGATCATCAGGTGATTAATTAACGTTAATTAATATTAATTAATTAAGTTTTTTTAGAAAAAAGTGGGGTTTTGGGGGGAGGAGTATGGGAGTGGTGTCATTGGATAGCGCGAAAAATTTCTGATGGAATTGAAAAAAAATGTGACCCATTTTACCCCGTCAATTTGAAAGTTATGGACGAAATTAGTTTTGGATGTCGAGAATGAAAATTTGATGTCACTTGTAAACTTTTGGGGTAAAATAGACATTTTTTTTAATTCAATCGTCAATTTCAGCAAAATTTTCAATGAGACAGATTAACTTTCTCTATCTCCCCCTCTCCTTAAATTTTCAAAAACTATAAATAAAAATTTTGAGACTAGGAAATCTGTATTTTTAGTTTTTTATTTTTATTTTTAGTTTCCTTAAATCTTTAAAAGTGCAAAAATTAATAAAATTACGAAAATTGATTTTAGAAAATTAATTAATTTGTATATTTACAGCGTTACACAGCCCTTCTGGACGCTGGTGCACGTGAATCCCTGGCAGATGTTGTCAGCAAAGTTCTCCGCAAAGTTTTATCCCAACCCGAGGGAAAGATCGAGGAATTGGATGATACATTACTCACCTGAGAGATAATAACAAACTCGAGGCTCAAGAGACCGAAAAAATCACGTTTAAAATATAACGACAATGCAATTAATGAAAAACTTATGAAATTGATAATTCCGATGGAATTGCTCAATTATCCAATTATCAAAGATGTTCGTAATAAATTTAATCCAAAGAGAGTCATAAAGAGAATTAATATTTATTGTTCACACTTTTCCATTAATTATTTAATCAATTGTCTAGGTAATTATTTAATTAATGAGGGTAGAAGATTGTTTTGGAGATTTACAAAGTGGAAAGACGAATCAGTTTTTAATTTTTCTTTATTTTCGTTAAATTTTTGAAATTCGTTGCAATAACTGATTAAATTAATTTATTGGATTAATTCGGTGATTAATTTGTTGATTTGTTCAGCTGATTTTGATGTTAATAGCTCAATTCTTCTATTTGTTCATTGATTAATTGAATAATTAAGGGTTTTGTATTTTTATAAAACACTTTTTTAATTTTGTAAATTGAAAAATTAATGGAAAAGTCGGTGAATAATTGACTTTTGAGGATAATTGGCGGTGGAGCCTCGGGGGTTATTAACAGTCGTTCTCATTGATATTCAACATTTTTTTAAACATTTGTAAAACGGTCCTACGTCACTGTAATCATGTGTAACTGAATAATTGTGAATTAGTTGAGGTATTAATGAGAGATAAAACCATTTGTTATACTTTTGTGAGAGTGGGGGACTGATTGAGAGTCATATTATACATAATAGGGTAATGTCGAATATTGTTGTTGATTATTTTTTCCTTTCCCATCATAATTCCCGCTATTTTAAGATTTTTGAACAATTTTTTTATTCCAATAAAACAGTTTTTTTCATTAAGAATTTGATTTTTGAGGTATTTGGGGGGGATTGTGGACATGGGTGGGGGCAAAAACTACCTCAGTGGGTGGTCACGGCAATTTGGAATGTAATTGAAAAATAAAATCGCCCATTTTGCCCCGCTAATTTACAAGTTATCCAAAAAAGGGGATTTATAGCTAAAAAAAAAAATTTGAGTTTTTGAAAGAACTATTGGGGCAAAATGTGTTTATTTTTTTTAGATTCCATCGGAAATTTTCTCGATTTTCCGATAAAATTTTATTCATTCACATCGATTCAGTAGTTTTCGAGATAATTTGATTTCTTTTACAGAAAATTTTAGTTTATTTTGATTCAAACTAATTTTTTGGCTATTTAATTAATTTTTTCATGAATAAGTTCATGGGCTGGAGTTGAAAATGATCCCAGGGGGATCACGGAAAAAAATCCCATTTTGCCCCGTTAATTTATAAGACATTAAAAAAACACGTTTTGAAATTAAAAAACGAAAATTTGATTTTTTGGAAGAACTACTGGGAAAAAATGAGTTCATTTCTTTTCATTTCATCGAAAATTTTTCGGATTTTCGAATAAAACTTCATTCGAAAATAATCTGAAATAATCATATTTTTGTTCTAGCAATCCAATTGAATTTTCCTCCAAATTTTTTCCAACGCTCCCTCCATTTTCCTTTAAAAATACTTGAATAACAAAAATTTCCTTTCTCTTCCCTGCCCCGGAGAATAAAAAAACATAAATAAAAGATAAACTCAACCGATGTCTCCCATATTGTTCAAATACACAAGTAAAATACTTCGAGAGCATTCGAAAAATCCAAATGTCAGTGGCTCCTAAACATTTATAAAATAAACAGAGATAAGGGTTTTCTCGTGATTGTGGTCGTCTCGAGGGCGTCCTGACACCAGCTGACATGTGCAGAAGCACCAAACAAGTCCAAATGCCTGGCTCCGACAAATAAACGAAACGGTAAATGGTGTGTCCCGAGGGTGCCCCCAAGGGCCACTTAAGGTCCCCACCCCCCTCCCCTCCCGCCCCAAGCACTCGAGAATTTTAGAAGAAATACGAAAAACAGGGAATTAACCCCCTGTGAGCCCATTGAAATCCCATTGTCGATGGGATTATGGTATCGCTTACAGTTAATCCGTGAGGCGGTGAGACCCAAAGGGGCCCGATAATGCCCATTTGCGGTGGAGTACCGCAGGGGTAAAACACAGGAGGTAATTAAATTTTTCAAAGCCCCGTGATTTTTCCGTGCGCAAACATCTTAGCCCTCGTTATCGATATTTTGTGGGTGGGTTAATCCCTGGAAACTTTTGTGCACTAGCCAGGTTGCATGAGATCAATATGTCTTCATTTTGCATTTTCGGAATGGAAGGCTTTACTTGTATTTGAGCGATTTTTCGATTTTCTAATTTTGATGGCAAATGGTCTAGAGTGTTATGAAACGTGAAGAAATGATGTTTTTAGGGTCATGTCTGTGTGGATGTGTGACAACTTGGGTTTTTGGTGATCAATTTTTAGAAAATTTAACGTTAATACGGCGAAATTTGTCGATAAAAATCTGAAATTTTGGCTCATGGTAGCTGTGATTAAGCTTCATTTTGGTGCGCAGTTTCAGCCCGATCGATCCAGTAGTTCCTGAGATATAACAACTTCTTTAAATTTCGTTTTTCCTCAATATCTCAAAATCTTCTGCACCCATTTCATTTTTTTTTATTTCAAAATACTCGTCTCGATGACCTCCATCTAGATCAATCAAAATATATATACCCGTTCGGACAAAATTTGAAGATATTGCCGTTTTTCCGTTTTTTCATGAAAAATCTTGTTTACACGATAACTTAATAAAAAATGGAGAGAGTGAGTTGAAATTTTGTACGCTTCTAGCTTTTATAACATAAAAGGTTGGTATTGTGGATGGGCGCAATCGGCCGAGCGGTTCTCGAGATATTCAACCTCTTGTGTAAATATATTTCTTCAAATATCTCATGAACTACTGCACGGCTTTCAATTTTTTTTTCAAAATACTTGTCCCGGTGGCCACTATCAAGATCAATCAAAATATGTATCCCCATCAATGCAAAGATTCAGAGATATTCCCGTTTTTTCGTTTTAAAAATTTTTTCATTTTTCTACGCACGACATTTTGAGAAAAAATGAAAATAGCAGGTTGAAATTTGGTGTGATTATAGCTCTTACAATATTGAAGATTCGTATTTTGAACAGGCGCAATCGGCCGAGCAGTTTCGGAGATATTTAACCTTTTGTATAAATCTACTTCATTAAAAGGTTTAATATCTTTCTGTAGACACCCTGTAGCATGTGGTTACGGTTGTATGCCTGTCACAAGGACAGGGAATTGCTACGGATCCATTCGGAAGCTTACTGCCAATGGAATTGGTAGAAATGAAAAAAAAAAGAAAAGGAATAATATCGCAAAAAGTAGGGGATACGATGCGCACACTCATGTGTACATGGAGGGGTGAACAATGATTATTGAGAAGTCATCGAGACATTCAGTGGAGAAATGTAGGAAATTTCATAACAAATGAAATGGTTTTCAACTCATATTTACGAGACGTTCTCAGGAGGTGGACGACTTTCCAAGGGATTTATCGAGGCAATGAGTAGGCTTAGAAGAAAATGTCATGAGAGTTTTTTGCGCGGAATTTTAAGGGCTACAGAACATATTATCTGACATTTTTTCCTAAAACCACTCGTTATCGAGATAATTTCATTTTTTAAGGGTGAAAAAATGGGAGAATTTGAATTTATATTCAAATTCCTTTTAAATACGAAACTATTTCGAGGGGAAGTGTTTGTGATTTCCTGATCTCCAAAAAAGGTGTCTTGACCTGTTTCATTGTAGAACCTCTCCTTAACGAGGTAATTACGAAACCATCGAGAATTCCATTACGTTTCACTGCAGAATTGAACGTTTTCAGTTGAATTTCACTGAAGACTTCAGGTAAATGTTTTATTTTTATTATTATTTCATTTCTTCTTATTTCATAAACCTAAACCTGATCGTTTCCTAATATTAATAACATTATTTATCGATATTATTTATTATTTATTAATTCAAAAAGACTCAATTCGTCCGAACATAATATTTCATAAAATTTTTCTTCTAATTTCAAAAATTAAAATTTTCCAATTTTCCTTTTTTCAAGAATGACATAGGGAGGGCGGGTGTTAGTTAATGCCATTGGATAGCCGGGGAAATTTCCGATTCCAACCCCTTGTCATGAGCCCATTTTGCCCCATAACTTGACAACCTACAATTAAAGAAAGCCGGGGAGAAAAAAAAATGAGAAAATTACAGAGATTGCAACCGGAAATGCCTATTCCCAGTTCCCCGAGGGTTTCATCTCTCTAATTCCACCAATGAGGGAATGTGGGTGGTGCCAGTGCCTCCGCCAATCCCCACGGGGTATTTTAAACAACCGGGGAAGGATCCTTGCGGCTTCCGACGACTTTGAACTCATTGAGAGCACCGACATCGGCCACTAGTAGCTCATCCTCATTTTTACATTTTTTTTTCGGGTTTCGGTTCAGTTCGGGGTTGACTGGCGACAGTCGAGTGTCGAGGACCACGTGAATTTTTCCGGGGAATTTTTCCGCGTAAAAAATTTACGATTCTTTAATTTGATGAAGACGTCTTGGTTTTTTGATTGGGGAAGATTGATGGAAACAGTGAAGTGACTTTTCCGGGGGGTTTTCCGAGGAAAATCAACCATTTTCCGAATTTTCCGTGGACGGGATTTTGTTGGAGAAACAAAAACACAAGAGTGAAGTGAAGTTTTTAATGGGAACATCATAATTTTTCCGAGGGAAATTTTTGTTGTGAGGAAAACGGAAAAATTCGGTAATCCAGTGAATTTTCAGACGAATTTTCCAACTGAGAGACAATACATTTACGATTTTTTTACGGGAATTTTTTTTGGGGCAAAAATAGAAAAAAATCGTCAACTTTGTGAATTTCCCGGGAGTTTTTCCGAGGAAAATCAATAATTTTCCGACTTTTCCGTCGACGAGATTTTGTTGGCGACATAAAAACACAAGAGTGAAGTGAATTTTTTACTGGGAAAACACTAATTTTTCCAAAGAAAATTATTGTTTGTGAGCAAAACGGAAAATCTGGTAATCTAGTGAATTTTCCAATTGAGAGACAATAAATTTACGATTTTTCCGACGGAGATTTTTTTTTGTGACGAAAATAAAAAAAATCGTCAACTTTGTGAATTTTCCGAGGATTTTTTCGACGACAAATAATAATTATTTGGTTTTTCCGAATTTTCGGTGTGAGGTAAACTGGAAAATTTATGCATTTAGTGAATTTTCCAATTGAAATAACAATTTCCCGATTTTTCCGACAGAAAATTTGTTTCCTGTGAATCGGTGACTTTGTAAACTTTTCCATTAAAATACGAGACTTTTTCGATTTTTCCGACGAAAATTTTCTTTTTTCTTTCAAAGAAAATTTGAGGAACATTTGTTTCAAAGTTTTGAATGAGAGAAATTGCGAGGAGTGATACTATTCGAAATGGATCTGGACATGAGTGGAAGTTACTGTGGAAAAGCCGAGAAAATTTTCAACGACTGGAGATTTTTCTCCGGGTCGGCGATGACCTTGGGACGAGTGGAGAGTTTTCCGAGGGGCTCATTACCGAGTACCGTGAATGTACAGTTGAGTAATAGGGGGTTGTGGCGTCAGTTCCATGGACAGACCACGGAGATGATTATCACGAAGCTGGGGAGGTAAGATAATTGATTGATAATTGATGACTCTTGGTAATTAATCAACTAAATGAAATGTTAAAAACCGTAAAAACGGGAATTGTTGGATTGTCAAGTGATGATAAAACTGAAATTATCTCTCTAACGATTGATTTTAGAGCAAAATGTCATAAAATATTTTTTATTGCAAATTCATTTTTCATAAATAAATATTTTATGACATTTTCCGCTAGAATCGGTCGTTAACGAGATAATTAAACAATTAATGGAGATGTCAAATTTTATGAATAGGATTTTGGAAATGAATGGTTGACCTTGTGTGAGGGTCATGAGGGTTAAATGGTCTTGAAGGTCAAATGACCTTTAAGGGCCCTTTGAGTTCTGGTGACCCTTTCTAATGAGTCTTTTTTAACCCTTAAGACCATTTGACTGTATTTTGGTTTTTATTTGAGAGTTAAATGGTTTGAGGGTCAAATGATCCTTCGTAAAGGTCAGGGTTAAGGGTCTGATGACCCTTTCTGATTACCTTCAACCCGTTAGACCCTTTGACCCTAAACGTTCTTAAGGGTTGTTTGACCCTTAAAACCAAAAAAAACATAAAAAAAGACATAAAAATCAGGTAACTCCTGCTTTTTTTAGTTGAGGGTCAAACGGCCCTTGAAGACGTAAACCCTTTCTAAATTGTGTTAAATAATTTTTCAAAAAATCAAGTGCTAAAGAAATTGTTTACACAAACAAAAAAATTCTATTGAAAACAAAATCTGAAATATTATTTCATATTCATAACCCATCCAAAAAATTTTCTCGATGATTTTCCACCAACGAAAAACAAAAAAAAAGATTTCCCTCCGTTAAAGATTTTAAAGTTTTTTGAAGCTCAACTGACCCAAACAATTGTGTTAAATAATTTTTTTTTATTTAAGTGCTGGAAAAATTATGTATAAAAAAAATCTATCGAAAAAAAAAATCTGAAATATTTCATATTCATAACCCATCAAGAAAATTTTCTCGATGATTTTCCTCAAAAAAAAAAAAAGATTTCTACTCCCTATTTTTTTTTAATTCTAATTTTCAAGCAATCCTCCCCTGAAAATTTCACGGTAACAAAAATTGGAAGGAACGAAAAAATATATATATTTTGCACGCATGCACGACGACAATTCTCTTAATTACCCGGAGCCCACGTAAACTCACATAGAGATCCGCACCGAGATAAACGGTCATCCTTCAATTTTACCATCCACTCATCCAAAAAATCAAGCGGCCAAGAAAGAGAGAGAGAGAGAGCGAGAGTCTTCACGCTCAAGTGTCCCAAGGCGTCTAAAACCCTTGTTTGTCGAGACGGGGTCGCACGACAGTCGGCCGGCGCCTCAAGCTACTTGTCCTCTTTGTCCCCGCCGACACCGACATTGAAACCCAAAATCCCTTTTTACCTCGACAATGGAAATTATTTTTTTTGTCATTCACCGAAAACAGAGAAAATGGGAGGGATTTTCCCTTTTTTTCGGTCAAGTGCATTTGGGGAAATGGGGGGGAAAAATTATTTTGTCATTTGGGGGTGCGGAAGGGCGGGATATTTTTCAGATCCTTCCGTCAGTTTTTTTTGGGACTGACATGCGGAAGAAATTCTCGGGGGAGAGATGGCGCAAAAAATTCCATCAACTGATCCATCACTCCGTGACTTCCGTCTCCGACACGTTTCGTGTCGTTCGAAGAAGCTTCTATCAGGTCTCGCCCCCGGGACGACCTTCTAGATAAGGAAATTCCTCTTGAGAATATTCCTTGAGGGTTTCTCGGAATTTTTTCAGTTCTGGAATTTAGGGCTTTTTGAATACAAAACTTCAAAAACATTAAACAAGTTTTCATGTTTAGGTCGACTGAACGGTTTTGAACTACCACTTAAGTATGCAATTATCTCGGTAATTATTGATTCTAAGAGAAAATGTCAGAAAATGTTCTTTACATATCAGAAAATTCTCTACAAAAAATGTCTTTTGACATTTTCCCCTAAAACCACTAGTTCTTGAGATAATATCATAATTTCAATGTCATTGGGCTCGTAATGTTCGTTGGAGCATTCTCTATTGAGTTACCGTGCGGCGTTCCCATTTATTAATTCGTAGTTTTATTTTAATTGTTGTGTTTTCACGTGATAATACCACATGAGAAAACTAGACTGAATTATCAGTGCAACCTACTCTCGCCGATTAACATCAATCAATTATTCCCAGTCGTGCCGCATCATAAGCCCCCAAAAACGTCGACATTCCTGACTCTCCCGATGCTATCTCTCCATCTCCCATCACCATGACACTCAACCGTCTAGGTCACCTCAGGTACCTCGCTCACCCTTTCCCCGCCCCCCCACGAAGTCAATTAACCCGGAAGAAGTCCCGAAACTCGTGAAAATTCAATTAAAAACTCATTGAAACCCAAAACCCCGGCGATTCCCAAAAATTTCTGACGCACTCTGTTGTGCCCCTCAGACGCATGTTCCCCGCCATCCAGGTGTCCATCACCGGTCTGGAGCCGCACGTCAAGTACCACGTCCTCCTGGAAATCGCACCCGCCTCCCAGCGCAGGCACAAGTACGTGGGGAGTGCAAGTAGTGCGGAAAAAAATGGGAGTGATGAGGTGAAGAGGAAACATCAGGGATGGACTGTCGCTGGTAATGCTGAGGTCCAGTCACCACCGCACAAGAGGCTCTATCTTCATCCCGATAGTCCAGCCACTGGGAAACACTGGGGACAACAGCCCGTCAGCTTTGCAAAATTAAAATTAACGAATAATAATGTGGATCATCATAATAATGTAATTATTCGTTCCGTTTTTTAAATATTTTTTTGACACTGAATTAAAAAAAAAAACTTGAATTTTTCCCCCTCTTGAAAAAATTTAAAATCAAAATTTCTTTTGAAGAAAGATTTTTTTTCAAAACTCTTCGTTTCGAATAAAATTCCATTAAAAATTCAATTTTTGGAAGAACGAGAATCACCATATTTTTGAAAAAAAAATCCGCATTAAAAAATTCTCAAGAAAAAAATTCCCGTTTATTAAAAAAAATCCTCATCGTTTTAGAAAAAAAAATTCAACTTTTTGGAAAATAAAATCTCCATTTTCTAAAAATCCCCATTTTTCAAGTCCCTATTATTTGAAAAAAATCACTATTGTTCATAAAAAAATGAGATTTTTTAAAATCCCCATTAAAAAAATCATAATTTTTTAAAGAAAAACATCTCCATTTTTTCAGTTAAAAAATTCTCATTTTTTCCATTAAAAATATCTCCATTTTTTCAGTTAAAAAAATCTCCATTAAAAAAAAATCAGAACAAAAAATGTTTTCCTAAACCATTTTTCTTCAAAGAAAAACTTTTTTTTTCATATCCTTTATTTTTGTTCTCAATTCACATGATTCTCCAATCATTCAATTTTTTCAGATTGTCCTGACATCAATGCACAAATACATCCCAAAAATTTGGATAATCCAATCGGACGGTTTGGGAAGCATTAGCAACATCTACAGCCAGCCCTCTGCCTGTTTCACCTTCGAAGAGACGGAATTCATAGCTGTAACGGCCTACCAGGTAGCTAAAACTAATAGTCAGATAACTGCGGTGTCATGGGGCGGAATTCCAGACGAAAAAATTTTGAATATCTCGAAAACCATTGGTCCAGGCTGAATGAGTCATGGCTCGTTGGGAAGGCATAAAAATTCCCGATCCAAAACCCCTGTTATGAACCCATTTTGCCCCATTCATTCCTCTCTCCGCGCCCCAAACAACAATCTCGACCAATTTTGGGCCAAAACCATTTTTCCTCGATTTCCCCTCAACCCCTGGATAAAATTTGACTCAATATCAGTGTTTTTCAACGGAAATTTCCCCTGCTTCCCAATGAAGCCCCCCCCCAACCCCACCTCCTCCCCCGCAAAACCGTCAAAATCCTAAAAAATGAGGATAGGCTTCGATGGGGATCAGCCTGAAGTCTTGAAACGAATTGAACTGAGTCGAATCAAATCGAATTAAATAGAATCTAATTGAATCTAATTAAATTGAATCGAATCGAACTGGATTGAATTGAATCGAATTGAAATAAATTGAATGTAATTGAATCGAATTGAATCAAATTAAATCGAACTGAATTTAATTAAATTGAATGAATTTTAGAATCGCATTAAATCGAATTGAAGCGAATTAAATGGAATCCAATTGAATCGAATAGAATTAAATTAAATCGAATTGAATCGAATCCAATTGAATCGAGTTGAATTGAATCGGATTGAATTGAATCGAATTGAATTAAATTGACTCGAATTGAATCGGATTGGCTTGAATCGAATCGAATTAAAGTGACTCGCATTGAATCGCGTTGGATTCAATCGAATTGAATCGGATTGAATTGAATCAAATTGAATTAAATTGACTCGAATTGAATCGGATTGGCTTGAATCGAATCGAATTAAATTAACTCGCATTGAATCGAGTTGAATTGAATCGAATTGAATTAAATTGACTCGAATTGAATCGGATTGGCTTGAATCGAATCGAATTAAATTGACTCGCATTGAATCGAGTTGAATTGAATTGAATCGGATTGAATTGAATCGAATTGAATTGAATCGAGTTGACTTGAATTTAATCGAATGGAATTGAAAGAAGCTGTTTAATTTCAGAACGAGAGCATCACAAAATTGAAAATCGACAACAATCCCTTCGCCAAGGGTTTCCGTGACACTGGCCACTACCGCTGCAAGCGAAAACTCGAGGAGAGCCAGGAGAACTCTCAGGAGGAGGATCCACGTACCCCGGGAACCCCGGAACCCGAGAGAATGGAAAAAATCGAGAGAATCGAAGTCGAAGAATCGAACGGTGAAAATGTCTCGTCCAATCGTCCCACACGTCTGCACAGGCCTTGGTGCACCTCCTCCCCGTCACCCCCACCAAGAACCACTGGTGAAAGTGCATTTCCACCCCCACAAATACCTCAGGCCTTCAATTTCTCGACAATTTTACCTCAAAACAACGATTTTTCGCCGTTTCATTTCGATCGAATTCGATTCTTTCCGAATTTTCAGCAGAATAATTTCTTTATTAATCACAGATTCCATCGGTAATGATGGAAAGATGATTATGAGAGAATAATCATCTATAATTTTTTCGATTTTTCAATTTTTGCAAAAAATTTTAATCAATTTTTTTAATAAAAATTGTAAATTAATTTTTTTTCACTCGATAATTTTATAAAAAATCATCGAAAATGACAGAAAATATCAGCAAATTATCACAAAATTCTTGACTTTTTTTTTCGTAATGTTTTCTTTCATAAAAAAAATGAAAAATTATAATTTTGAAACAAAAAATTTCCTTTTCTTTAATTTTAATTAGGTTAATTATGATTTAGTGAAAGGCTAGTGAAGTAACGATACTTGTGCAATTATGTAAATAACCGGATAACAATCTCCAAACGATTGATGAATAAATATTTCTTATTTTATGATAAATTCGCCTTATTTTTTCTCATGAACTTTACTATTTCATGATAATTGAAGAAAATGGGGACAGCAGTGACAGGCGTCAGCTCGAGGGCCTGTAGAGTGGCCAGACGACTAGACTGAAGGACGATTGGGGCCTTCTGTTGTAGTGTAATAGAGAACTGACGCCAGTACTTGACACAGAATCACTCGAAAACCCTCAAAAGTCATTTTCCTCCTGAAAGTCATCAAAACAAAATTCCATCTCCTCGTCTTCCTGGAGAAAGGGGTCGGCAAAATTCACATTTATTCATCCGCAAATATCTCGGAAACTATGGCATGTACAGCAAAACACCACAAAAAGTTTTTTGTATAAAATTTTTCGGACTACAAAAAAGGTCCTCTGGTAGTTTCTCAAAAACCGGATAATTACCGAGATAAATATGTAATTAGGACGAGAAATGATTTTCACCCAGACCGTCCCCTCAAAAAATGAAAAAATCTCGAGAATGAGTCGTCCTACAAGGAAATCTCTATAGACCTTTTCTGCAGCTCATAAAATTCTCCACAAAAAAGATTTTATGACATTTTCCTGTAGACCTCATCCTTCAGGAGTGAATTGCGACATGATCTCCAGACATCCCTAAAAATCAAAGAACTCCAGCAAGAAGTCCTCAGAAACTGACGAAAATCTCCGAATCAATCATATTTTTTGGAAAAAGTCATAAGATCATTTTCATAGTTCATGAAGTTTCCCACAAAAAATACTTATGACTTTTTTCGTTCAACCCCTTCATTCTCAAGATATTCCCCAAAAAGAAGGCTAATTCGTTTCGGCCCAACACATTACCCATAATTAAACACCCCCTTCACTCATTTTTTAATCATCAAAAAATTATTATTACGCAATACATACTTTTAACAATCTACACCTTAAAACTAATCAACATCAGTTACAATAAATACGGCACGTATCGTACCTAACGGTGCGAGTCCGTTATACCTGAATCACTTGAATATTAACCATTGGAATGTGATCGTGACGAAACTATTGATGACAAGTCGATGACAGCTGTCTCAAAACTTCAAACTTCTGCATTCATCGATGCGGTGATTAAATTAAACCGAATCCATCCGAGAGCTAGGGAATTTTGTGATTAAAAAACACTAGTTGAACCCCTTTATCCCTTGAATTGCGTGAGATATTAAAAAAATCATATCACGGTCAAAAAAAATTCTAGAATTTTACTTTAAAGTTTTGAGTTTTTACCCCTAGGGAATTTTTGGAATCCTAGTGACTTTCTAGTAATTTTACATCCTAGGGAATTCGGCAATTTATTTTATTCCCTGGGGATTATTCATTTTCTAGGGATTTGTTACATTTTCTAGGAGTTTATTTCATTTTCTAGTGACTTTTTTCACTTTCTAGTGATTTTCTAGTTCTTTTAAGTTTCCTTGAATAACTCAGAATCAAAAAGAGATAGAGGGATTGTAATTGATAGTTTTCCACCGAAAATTTCCCTAGCTATCGAACGAAATCGGTCTCGACCCTATCCGAGGGAATTTTCTCAAGACAGCAGCGTTGATCTCCAATTCCATTGCTGCTGAAATCGGGACAAAATGGGGGATTCGTTCTCTTGAGGCAGAAGGAACCTCGGGACCCTACGGGTGTGTGCTGCCCCATTATGAGGCGTTCACCAGGTCTGCTGTTGATCCTAGGACCTGCTGGACACCTCCTGGAGCAGGGTTCAGCGGTTAGACTCTTTGAATCCCCGAAGATACTCTCCGCCATGTAGCAGACAACCCAAACGTGACTGCAGAGCTGTTCGTTGGAACTCTTTTGACAAAATGGCTGGACTCTTCCGCCATTTACGCAAAAGTCCACGTGACCCACCCGTCCGATTTCCCCGTAGTAACCTGCGTTCGTGTGGATGACCTCTACGAAGTCAGCGTCACCACTGTCTAATCTGAAGAGATAATGGTTGAGATGGGGTTTAAAAGGTTGGAATATTTGAAACTTTTAATATACCCCATAGTGACTGTCTAGTTATGTTTTATGGTTTATGGGACTTTCTAGGGATTTTTTTCGATTTTCTGGTGATTTCTCGCAATGTGTTGAATTCCTGCAAGTTGTGACCGCCTAGTTATTTTTAATGGACTTTCTAGGGATTTTTATTTTCTAGTGATTTTTCGCAATTCGTTGGATTCCTGCAAATTGAATGTTTCGCAGGGCGTCATGAATTTCTAGTATATTTTTCCAGGTTCTAGTTACTGCCTAGGGATTTTTCTGGTTCTAGTATAAACCCTGTTTTCGTGGATAAACCCGGAACTAGAGGATATATTTCAATTTTTCAGATTCTGATGACACTCGGCCGAAAAAACCCAATTTCCCCAGAACTTTTAAGTGTTTAGTGATATCACCAAAAATGAATTCATGATCGATAAATCGAAAAAAATCGATACGACTCACCTATTCACGAGGCCGGGGCGTACTAGGGGCCTAGCCGGGTCCAGCCCGATGATCTTGTGCATTCGGAAGAAGAGGAAATTCGCCATCATCCCGCAGAGATGAGCGCCCAGAGAGTGACCAACGCACGTTGTCCTCAGGATTGGCAGCCCCATTTTTCTTAAGGTCGTCAATGTTTGCGCTAGGCATCTAGCCACCGGCCGGAGGTTCGCGATGGCCGCCGGGTAGCATGGCGCTGCACTCAGCGCGCCCCAGTCAACCAGGAAGACGTTGTAACTTCCGTTTTTCAGGTACGCGTCGCGGAGAACGGACATTGGGAGAGTATCATCACCTCCTAGGGATTTTTTTTAAATTTATTGTGATCGATGATTACGGCTCCAGGGTCCCCCCCAAGGTCACCTCAGACTACTTTACTGAGATGTCAATTCTTTGGAAGGCCTAGTGATTTTCTAACGGTTTTTCCCAATTTCTAGTGACTTTTTTAGTGATCTATTTTGTTATCCAGTGACTTTCTAGAGAATTTTTGCGTTTCTAGTAACTATATAGTGATTTTTCGAATACTTAGTTAAATTAGGAACCAGGGGGTTTCTAGTTTTTTATTTTGCTCCCTAGTGATTTGTTTTTGTATCTAATGACTTTCTAGTGATTTTCTTGCTGTCTAGTGATTTTTTACGTTTTCCTGGATTATTCAAGAATGAAAGGAGATAGAGGGGTCGCCAGATAGAGTTTTCCAGCGGAAATTTTCCTGGCTTTCAACTGAAAATAAATTCGAGTCTTCACCCCCACTTTTGAAATTTTGAAATTTCAAAAAAGGCAAAATTTATTTTTTATAATTTTTTTGTTGGAAATTTTGCTTTCGACTGAAAGTAAATTTGAACCTTCACCCCCACTTTTTTAATTTTGAAATTTCAAAAAAGTCAAAATTTATTTTTCATAATTTTTTTGTTGGAAATTTTGCCTTGTTTATAATTACCTGCATAACCATGTACCAAAATAACATTCTCCAATGTCGGCTGATAATCCATCTGCAGCCAATCTCCCTTGAACTCCTCCATCAGTTTTCGCTTCTTCTCCTTACCCGGTGTGTAAAGATAAACATGAACATCGGGATCAGGACAGGCGTCTTTATCATCCCCCCGTCTCCACGTGCAATCCTCCTTATTATAATCAGCCGCGCCACTCTCAATCGCCTCATGTATCGGTCCCCGAGCGAGACGCGTCAAACTCAACTCAAACTCCGTAAGTGCGAAAACTCGAAAGTTATTGGAGCCCGAGAAAATGGAACTCAAAGTGCAAAAAATGAATAGATTATTCTGAAAAAAATTGCCGCCCATTTTGTAATTTTTTTCGGTTTAAAAAACTAAATGAAATTCAACGCAACGAGGTGACTGACACGACTCGGTGAACGTCTCAGTGATGACTAAATCGAGAGACAAATATACTCAACGGGTATTGTCGCTTCATTGCCCCCGGACTACAACTCTTTACCGTTTTTTTTCCTTTTTTGATTTCAATTTTTTATGCACCTGGAAACCTTTTACCGGTGTTTATTACGGTGTTGTAGGGGGAGGAGGAAGAGTTCTTGAATCAATTACGGTAATTAAACTGGGAGGAGAGAGAATTTTTGTTTTTTTAATTGTTTTTTTTTTTTTTTCATTTTTTACAGATTTTATTTGAATTTTCGCGGGTGATATATATATATATTTCTAATTGAATTTTTAAGGACATTTAAGACTTGGACATTTTTTTCCTCGAAATAGTTTTTAGCATTTGTTTATAAATAGGAGAGTTTGCACCCCATTTGATGCTGAATTTTGAAAGAATTTGGAAATTTTTCTTCATTTATTTATTTATTGTATCTATGAAAGAAATTCTGTGTCATTATTTTTCGATTTACTTATTTAAATTTCGAAGATTTCAATTTTCAAAAAAAAATGATAATTTTTTTTTCTCGAAAAATTCATAAAATTATTGAAAAAATGCAGTTTAAAAAAAATACAAACGCAAAGTACATGAAATGGATGTCATCTCGAAAAATAAAGTTTTCAATTGTTTGAACAAATTCGATTGTTTATTAAAAAAAAAGAATGAAAAAACGTCATTTGCAAAGTGCGATTTGAAAAAAGTTGTTATCCTCGATTTTTTCTTAATTTCTCCACGCAATTTTATTGTGAAAAGAAAAACGAGGCTGCAAATATTTGGGCTACTTTTTAGGGTTTTATTGCACTGCGAAAAAATGTTTTTTCAGGCCATGGTGACATCGTGATTCACTTTGAATTTCAAAGAGAAAATTTCTTCTCACAAAGAAAGCACTTTTATCCTCTTTTTTTCGTTGTTTTTCCTTGCAATAATGTAATTCCTTCATTTATCTATTGTCACAGGTCATGAACTCAATGTTCTCAACTTGAATTTAAAAAAAAAATAAAAATAAAAATTTGCAAAAAAGCGATTTTTCCTTTTAAATCAATGAGCGAATCCACTCCGTTAAATTCGCATGAGAAACGCGAGTCTGTTGACTTTACACCGGAGAAAGTCTCCAACTCTTATTTTCGAGGGCAAATTCGGTGAAATTTCTTCCTTACACTTGACATCTGGAACTTATGACACGTAACACAACGAAAATTCATGAGTTTTTTTTCGCCGGATTAGAAAGTCCACCGGATTAACGAGATGATACAGTGGGTAATCGTTGCATAACTGTTACACCGCTCGAAATAAATAATTCCCTCAGTGCTCTAGCTTGCCATAATATTTATTCCCTTCATTTATTGAAATTATCATCAACAAAACATTAATCGTCTATTTTTTGTAATACGAAACATCGACACAATGATTGATTAATTTACAGAAAAATCACATGGAACACTCGATAAATGTGCAGAAAATATTTTCAAAACCTTTTCCTCTCCAGAAATTGAAAAATCACAAAGGAATTTTAATCAATTAAAAAAATGGGACGAGACGGGAAGTTGGGTTTTTTAAATGGGTATTTTTCCTCGAGTATTGGCTTCGCCTCGCTCCGTGACTTTTACACTTGTCCGAAAAGTTTTTCCAGGCCTTGTGACGAAATGTATATTTTCATTACTTGTGCGTAAAGTAAAAGTTTACGCATGGTTCGCATACACCATGATGGAAAAATAGGTTTTGATATTTGTGGGACACCCTCCCGAGTGTCAAAAAACATGTCCTAGCGTTAAACACCTCCCACGGGTCAAAATAGTACATTATGTTACAAGGCCGATAATAGTACATTATGTCACAAGGTCGATAAAAGTATTTTCCAACGAATCGGACTTTAGTTTGACTTTTCGGAGCAGAAAGCGAGGATTATATTCACACGAGACAAAAAATACATTTATTACCGTGTGATATACAACATTTTCCTTCGCAGTCTGTAAAATTCCATTTTACGGACAGTGTGCCGAAATCATACATTATGTCCCAAGAACCAAAAACCAAGTAAGTTTAGAATTTTCTGTTCATCAGTCCTACGGACATAAAAATAGCAAATTGTTTGCCTAGGTCAAAAAAGCATCCTTTTTCGATCTAGGCACACAACTCACGATAGGTTCCCGGCCTGGCTTTTCCTACCTATTTGATTCACAGGATTTTTAAGAAATATCAGTTTTTCCCACTCCCGAGTGTCAAAAAGGATGTCCTAGCGCTAAACACCTCCCACGGGTCAAAATAGTACATTATGTTACAAGGCCGATAATAGTACATTATGTCACAAGGTCGATAAAAGTATTTTCCAACGAATCGGACTTTAGTTTGACTTTTCGGAGCAGAAAGCGAGGATTATATTCACACGAGACAAAAAATACATTTATTACCGTGTGATATACAACATTTTTCTTCGCAGTCTGTAAAATTCCATTTTACGGACAGTGTGCCGAAATCATACATTATGTCCCAAGAACCAAAAACCAAGTAAGTTTAGAATTTTCTGTTCATCAGTCCTACGGACATAAAAATAGCAAATTGTTTGCCTAGGTCAAAAAAGCATCCTTTTTCGATCTAGGCACACAACTCACGATAGGTTCCCGGCCTGGCTTTTCCTACCTATTTGATTCACAGGATTTTTAAGAAATATCAGTTTTTCCCACTAGGATGAAAAGTTGACGTTTTTGAACGGGTTATCATCAGGATTACTGGCACAACTCTCACCCCCCTCTCCCAAAAATAAACAAAAAACTCAATGAAACAAAAAAAATCACCATTTATTAAAAAACCAAAATTACTTAATACTCAAATTCTCAATTTCCTCTTTGATAGCGCTAGCCAATTGCGCCTTATCGGCATCTGACACCTTTCCCTTATCGCTTCCCGTGTTGGTGTCCTCCCTCGCGCATTCTTTTTTATGGAGGAACCAGTGGTAGCGTTGGCACTCCCTGTCGCAGTACTGCACAGCCCTGCATTTGCTGCACTTTTTCGTCGTCTTCTCCTCCCCGCAGGTGACGCAAATCTGTGACAAATCGGCGAAACCCCGTTGGCCATTAATGGCGGCCGACACTACGGAGACGGCCGACGGGGGGTCGCTACCGGCTAGAGTCGCTATCATCTGCCGGAAAATTGTGCTCTCCCTGAAGGGAAACTCCCGGACAATTTCCCGGAGGAGGGCCTCCTGGTACTCCGGCCTTAGGGCATCGTTCTTATTGCACTTGAGTAGTTGTTTTATGAAGAGCTCGACCAGGTCCGTTTGACTCTTTGTTGAGGGCTTGTCGGACGCCTCCGGGGCTTTATCTTTCTCAGCTTTTTCCTTTCGCGCTTCTTGGCGCTTTTTCAATTTTAGGAGCTCGTTTATTATGCAACTCAGGTAATGGTATTTGAACGCCATTATTTCGTTTGTGTCGGCACCGCGCGTCATCTCACGCTGGCGGAGAGATTCTAGGACTTTTTGCACCTGGGGACAGGCGAACAAATGAGGGGTTATCGTCCTGGGACGGAAAAGCAAGGTTTTTCGCCCGAGTTTCGGACAGTTGCTTTAAAAATGATGAAAAAATGGTGAAGTGAGAAAATTTGACTTTTGTTCTTTGTGGAGGACAAAAACGAATTTTGCGGGCAGGTGTGAGAAAATAGTGGATTATGTGCCTTGGGCGGAAAAGGATGGATTTCCGATGCTGATTTTTCGATCTGTGTTATACATGAGGCTTTTCATAGCGTGTGCATACTAGAATTCGTATTTTAGACTGCCTAGAGTTGGAGTAGAGAGTAAATTATGCTACTAGGACGAAAAAGTGGCATTTTTAACGGGTTTTCCAGCGATTGTTTTACAAATGACGGTTTCTATTATATCTGGGTGAGAAAGTTTGACTTTTGTTCTTTGCGGAGAGGTAAAAACGAATTTTGCGGACAGGTGTGAGAAAATAGTGGATTATGTGCCTAGGGCAGAAAAGGATGGATTTCCGATGCTGATTTTTCGACCTGCGTTACCCAGAAAACTTTTCTTAGCGTCTGTATACTGGAATTCGTGTTTTTGACTGCCTAGAATAGGAGTGAATAGTAAATTATGCTACCAGGACAAAAAAGTAGCATTTTTAACGGGTTTTCCAGCGATTGTTTTACAAATGACGGTTTCTATTATATCTGGGTGAGAAAGTTTGACTTTTGTTCTTTGCGGAGAGGTAAAAACGAATTTTGCGGACAGGTGTGAGAAAATAGTGGATTATGTGCCTAGGGCAGAAAAGGATGGATTTCCGATTCTGATTTTTCGACCTGCGTTACCCAGGAAACTTTTCATACCGTCTGTATACTATAATTCGTATTTTAGACTGCTTAAAATAGGAGTGAATAGTAAATTATGCTACTAGGACGAAAAAGTGGCATTTTTAACGAGTTTTCAAGCGATTGTTATACAAATGACGGTTTCAATTATATCTGGGTGAGAAAGTTGGACTTTTGCTCTTTGCGGAGAGATAATAGCCAATTTTGCGGACAGGTGTGAGAAAATAGTGGATTATGTGCCTAGGGCAGAAAAGGATGAATTTCCGATTCTGATTTTTCGAGCTGTATTACACATGAGGCTTTTCAGCGTCATGAGCTTAGTAAAACTCATCCGCACACACATCTGCACAGTAAAACTCGTGTTTGGACTGTAGACAGAAGGAGGAAATAGTAGATTATGCTACTAGGACGAAAAGGGGGCATTGTTTAACGGGTGCAAAAGGTGAAACAAATCATTGTTTCGAACAAATCTAAGTAAGAAAGTTTGACTGTTATTCTTTGTGAGATGAAGGGTAAATGCGAATTTTGCGGACAGGTATGCAAAAATAGTGGATTATGCGCTTAGGACGAAAAAGAACGATTTTTCCGCCTGGTTTTCTCAACCCCTTTTTAAACACGAATATTTTCATTACACCTGCACACCAAAGGTTGTGCTTTACGTTCCGTGAAAGGCGGGACGAAATGACACATTATGTCACTAGGCTAAAAAGTCGAGCATTTTCGACCTGATTACTCACCCCTTGCAATGAGTATTATATAGTTCATCATAAAAAGTGTGAGAACATGATCCATTGGGCGTGTAGATGTGAAAAAATGGGAGTTTATGCGACTAGGACGAAAAAGTGGGCATTTTTAACCGATTTTCTTTCGACCCGCAATGCAAACATCCTTCGCATGTCCTAAAATTGATAATTAACCATAATCGAATAATCATTACCTTGGGAAGATGATCCAACAGCCCTGTGCACTTTTGCAACGTAATGGCAACCCTCACCGGATGCACGTTGACCTGCATGATGAATCTGTGAAACGAATCGGCGAGATGGGGTGGTAGCATGGGCTCAGTCTGTAATCCCTGTGGTTTAACGTAGTAATCAATGTCAGCCTTTGGTATGTAATTATTGATTGTAGCAACGCAATTGTGATTGCCAACGAATGCTGCCATTTGTGCTGCTGTACGTCCCACTGAGTTTGTGGCATTGATTTTGGCACCGTGGGTCAGCAGGAGGTGGCACAGATCGGCGTTGCCACTCAGGGCGGCAAAGTGCAGGGCTTTGTAGTCGTGCTCGTGCTGACAGGCATTCACATCTGCGCCCTGGGGGGAATTATCGAATTGGAGACGATTTCATCGGTTCCGAGATTATGTTTTCACGTAAAAAATCCCCCGGAAATTTTTCCCTCGAAAAAATGTTTTCCGGAAAGTTCCTATGTCCTCTACAGAAAAAAACATGCCCCGTAAAAAATTCTCCGAAAATTTTTCCACCGAAAAAATTTTCCCCAGAAAACTTTCGGTCCTCTAGAAAAAAAAACTGTTAATTTTTTCTGGAAAATATGAAATAAGACACATATTCGTAATATCCATTATTTTCTTGAAGTCGACAATTTCTGAACATTATGAATAATTTACACACACCCTTTTGTCAAGATAGGATTCAATTCTTCAAATGGAACATCTACAGCCACACAAAATTACGAAAATTCCAACAAGTTAAATTATTAATTTTCAATATAATCAGCAGCATACGAAAAATTGAATGTGAATTTGAAATGTACATCAACATTGGTCGGTAAACAATGAATTGACTAAACAATCGCGAATGAAGAAAAAAAACAATTTTCGCCATTAATTTTTTCCTTTTTCTCCTTCTACGAGAAAAAAAAAGAAATTGAATTAGAATTTTCTGAAGAAAAAGTCTAAACAAAATCCCACGTGAAAAAAATTCCTAAGGAAAATTAATCTCAATGAGAACAATTCGCCGAGAAGAGACTGACGGGGAAAAAATTTCCAGGAATTTTTGAACGGGGAAAAATCTCCGATCAACGATTTCATCGGGTAGTCCATTTTACCCCGGTAGTTCCTGGATAATCTAAGAAGAGCGATTTTTATCGCGATTTTTGTTTTTTTTTTATTGCGAATGAACTGCGGGGGCAAAACGGGCTTGTGACCAGGGTTCGGAAACGGAAATTTTTCGGATTAGATGGTGGGGTCGAGAACGACCCCAAATTCAAATGGGGATAAGTTTTAGATTGGAAGGTTTTCGAGAAGGTGAGTTGGTTGGGTTCACTGAGGTAGTTTGGCAACAATTGATTATTGTTTTGTTGGTGTCGCTCTAACCTGATCCAACAACATCTGCGCTATTTCCTTGTTTCCCTTGTAGCAGGCGTGTTGCAATGGACTCATGCCATTCTCATCCACAAAGTCGATTTTTATTTTACTCGAGGCGAGTAGGGATTTCAATTCCCCGGCCTCGTTATTCGTTATTTTTGTGAATATTTCCTTTTGGACGTCTGTACACATTGTTGCGGGCGCCATATTTTCGGTCGACTGGGGGTTCCCGGCGGGGCCGTTCGGGGGCTGATGTCTTTATGGCGGGAAATGTGAAATGGGATCTTCACATTTTTATGGATGTAGCCAAAGGAAAAGTAGCTGCAGGGGCAGGGGGATTTTAAATAGTATTAATGAATTTAATCGTGCATTTATTATGAATATATCCTGCAGCTGTGATTCTCAGCTAAAATGTCACGTTGAAAATAATCTTGATGATTGTCTCCTTCATTCAGACATTTTCTCCCCATCAGTTGTCAGTCTAAATCTAGAGCTCATTTCCAATTCCAATTCTTTATTCAGGGCTTCAGGCAGGAGTCCCCATCGAAGCCACAAACCAATACAGAACATAAGACACAAACATATATACATATGTATGTAATCCCTAAGAGAACACTTAGATAATCTCACAACAGGAGCGTGAAGATCATGAAGTTCATTCATCAAGTAATTTCCCAAAAATAAATAAGCAAACAAAAACTCAATAATCACATTAATCATCGCTCGCCAACGTCAATAGAAAGTCTCTCAAATATATCTCACAGAAAGATCGTGCAGCATGATCATGCGGTATCACATGATATACGTGAAAATATCGCAATGACAATGATCAATAATTAACATCACCATCCAGCAATTCGTGGGAATAATCTCGCGAAATATCAGAGGAATGAAATGTTTCAATGCAGAATCATTAATTCTCAATAAATTTATTCGGTCTATGATGACATCAATCGCAAATACACAATTTATCTGATACAATTAACATTTGTTCGGTCATTACAAATAACAATGATTAGTGAAATACTAGGGTATTGTCGGAGAATTAAATAATTAATTATTATTAAGGGTTGAACGATTGCTTAATGAGTTAATCAGATGATATACACTGAGTCATAATTAAAAAGTTTTTTCATAAAAAATAGTTGATTGGAATTTCATATTTAATTAATTAAAATCGTTTTCCTCATCATTCTCCTAGGAAAATCGATAATTATTGCACTAGAGTCAATTCTAATGATTAAAAATTTCTTTTTCATTCGATCAAAATAGATGATTGTCGATTGCTAATGACAATGTGATGTTGGTAATCAATAGTTGAAGTATTTACATTCCTCAATTAATTAATTTACGCTATAAAAACTGATTATTTCAATTTTTTCATTAAAAAGAAAATTGAAAATGTTAATTTTTCGATTTTTATGAGATGAAAATTGAAAAATACGCCTACTCAGTCTTCATTCTATGTTAATACAAGGTAACAATAATGAGAGAATTGTTGATTAATTGATTTCTAATTGAATTTTAAAGCTTAAAGCATTTTTCGAAGTTTTTTCGAAGATTGGAATACTCTGGAGATTTAAAAAGGCGGATTTGGGGGTGAAAATTACCCCATCAGGTCGTTGAGAAAATCTCCGTCTCCAAATCCTGGTCATGAGCCCATTTTGCCCCGGGAGTTTTCAAGATACCGAAGAAATTGGATTTCATTTCGTGATTTTGTCTCGACGATAACTCGAGAGGTTGTGGGGCGAAATGGGTTTGTCACCAGGGTTTGGAGGCGGAAATTTTCCTGGCTAGATAATGGGGTCATTTTTGAGTCCAGTTTTTCAAAATTTGGTTTTGTAAAAAAATTCGGGAGCTGTTTTTCTGGGGAGAATGGGGCAGTTTTGGGGTGATGTTTTCTTTTGGGGGTATTTTTGAGTCTAGGATATCTGAAATTGGGTGACGAGGAGTTTGGTGGCTTTGGCAATGTCGTAGGCACATGATCGAACCTGCTGGAGGCACCTGTCCATGTGTCCAGGGTCACTGGTGCATCGTTGGAGACCAGCACACTCTGCCTGGAGTCTTCCAGTGTTTCCGTTTAGCTGCCTGAGGGCTGATCTGATGTTATCCTCAATTGGATTCTGTGAAAATACAATAATTAAAATAGAACTATTAATTAATAAATGGGAAAGCCGTACGGTAACTCAATAGAGAGTATTCCAGAGAACAATATGACCCCAATGACATTGAAATCGGATGAAAAGAGTGACTTAAAAAACGTTAATAGACTGAATAATTAGTAGTACTTAGACATCTCAACGAGTGACTGTTGATATTTATTAAATCGATGAATTTCAGTTGTGTTACATTCAGCTGGACTTTATGAATAACAGTCGAGTAGAATTTGTCGATTTGTTAATTATGATATTATCTCAAGAACTAGTGGTTTTAGGGGAAAATGTCAGAAGACATTTTTTGTAGAGAATTTTCTGATATTTAAAAAACATTTACTGACATTTTCTCCTAGAATCAATAATTACCGAGATAATTGCATACTTAAGTGGTAGTTTAAAACTGTTCAATCGACCTAAACATGAATACTTGTTTAATGTTTTTGAAGTTTTGTATTTAAAACATTCAAAACACTAGATTTTTGAGCATTTTCAATGCAACAAGTGTCGAATTCTACTCGGGAGTTATTAGAAAAAAATCCATAGAAAGAACATGAATTATTCACCCTTGAGGTAGTCACACATTTCATACAATTAGGACGCTATTGTCTTCATAAATCCACAAATAACGAATTTTGAGTATTTTCTAAAAAATTAATTGTTATTTTCATGTGAAAATGCAAGAATAAAAATAAATAAAAAATCAAAACGGAACTCACCTGAGGAAATATGGCAGTCAACTCAGCAACAGCCACTCTGACCCTCTCAGCACAAGGCACGAAAGCCTCCCTGTGCCCGGGGTCCTGCATCGCCATCCACAACTCCTGAATTCTCCTCGTGACCTGTTCCGTCCGCCTGGTGACCTCGTCACACGATGGCAAACTCGACGTTTGGTATGGCCAGAGGCTTTGGGTCGTGTTGGGTCGAGCCAGAGCGTCACTATGAGGTTTTGCCTTGAAGAAAATTGAATAAAATGAAATTTTTAAACAAACAAAAATAAAAATGATATTCATGGACTGTTCCCATCATTACTAATTTTCCTGAGACTTTTTCGGGCACTTGAATTTCTCTGACATTTTAAGAAATTGTTCCCACCAATTGCGAGATGATGATGTTCAATTTTCATCCCATAAAAATAGAAAAATTAAAATTTTCAATTTTCTTTTTAATGAAAAAATTGAAATAATTAGTTTTTATAATGTAAATTAATTAATTGAGGAATGTAAATATTTCAACTATTGATTAACAACATCACATTGCCATCAGAAATCGACAATCATCTATTTTGATCGAATGAAAAAGAAATTTTTAATCATTAGAATTGACTCTAGTGCAATAATTATCGATTTTCCTAGGAGAATGATGAGGAAAACGATTTTAATTAATTAAATGTAAAATTCCAATCATCTATTTTTTATGAAAAAGCAGTTTTTAATTATGACTCAGTGTATATCATCTGATTAACTCATTAAGCAATCATTCAACCCTTAATGATAATTAATTATTTAATTCTCCGACAATACCCTAGTATTTCATTAATCATTGTTATTTGTAATGACCGAACAAATGTTAATTGTATCAGATAAATTGTGTATTTGCGATTGATGTCATCATAGGCCGAATAAATTTATTGAGAATTAATGATTCTGCATTGAAACATTTCATTCCTCTGATATTTCGAGAGATTATTCCCACGAATTGCTGGATGATGATCTTAATTATTGATCATTGTCATTGCGATATTTTCACGTATATCATGTGATACCGCATGATCATGCTGCACGATCTTTCTGTGAGATATATTTGAGAGACTTTCTATTGACGTTGGCGAGCGATGATTAATGTGATTATTGAGTTTTTGTTTGCTTATTTATTTTTGGGAAATTACTTGATGAATGAACTTCATGATCTTCACGCTCCTGTTGTGAGATTATCTAAGTGTTCTCTTAGGGATTACATACATATGTATATATGTTTGTGTCTTATGTTCTGTATTGGTTTGTGGCTTCGATGGGGACTCCTGCCTGAAGCCCTGAATAAAGAATTGGAATTGGAAATGAGCTCTAGATTTAGACTGACAACTGATGGGAAGAAAATGTCTGAATGAAGGAGACAATCATCAAGATTATTTTCAACGTGACACTTTAGCTGAGAATCACAGCTGCAGGATATATTCATAATAAATGCACGACTAAATTCATTAATACTATTTAAAATCCCCCTGCTCCTGCAGCGACTTTTGCTTTGGATGCATCCATGAAAATGTGAAAATGGCTGTTGCTGTTAGTATTGTCACTGTCGAATGGACTTTCCATTACCTGACTCATGGAATTCCACGTTCCACTCTTCTTCAGGCCCTCTCGAGTCTCGTACATGGAGGCAGGTCTCTGCCCTCTGGAGAGGGTGCTCCTGAGGTCCCCCAGGGACTCCAGCACTGGCTCCTGCTCACCAGAGTGCCCATTCATCACGTCCTCAGGGAGGGCTTTCTTGTGGGACTGAATAGCTGTCTTCAACTCTCGATTCTCGCGGGTCAGGGCCTCGATGGTCCTCTTCATCTCCCTCATCTCCTCCTGGAGGGACTTTATCGTCGACTCGGAGGTGCTCAGTTGCTTCTTCAGAACTTCCACGATCGAGGGGAGGCCCTTGGAAGTCGGGGCCAGTGCCTTCTGTAAAAATTAAGAGAATTATTAGTAGAATTTCGTAAAATGAAGTCACAATTTTGTAAATTTCACAAGATAAAAATAATTAAAAACGATTGAATAATTTATTCATTGGAAAAAACACTGGAAAATCTTATTAAAAAGGTATTTACAACCTCCAAAAATCAGAACAAATGAAAAAAGTTGTTCTTCTCATAAAATCGGAAAAAAAATAATGGGAAATGATTTTTTTCAATTTTTAAAAGTCAGAAATCATCAAAAAATTCTGGTTTGGCTCCTGAAAAATTGGAAATGGGTTAGAGAAGCACGAATTACACACATCATGCGTGGAAAAATTAACAGGAGACATTTTGAGCAAGCATTCACTTGCCTAGAAGCAGAAGAACCAAGTGCTCAGACGTTTCCTCGTTTTTCGTTTTCCTACAAGTGCTGGCACCTTAATTACCACAACAGGCATAATAATCCTCAATTACCAATGATAAAACCACTCTAAGAAGACTAAGAAGGATAGAGTAATTCGTCTACATACGGCAAAAGCAATTGCATTCTCGTAACATTTTTTTTTTCAATTTAGGAATTTTTTAAAAATGGAAATAAATGATTGTTTTACCTCATTATCGACGCTTGATGAGTGGAGACTGGAGACGTCGGTTGTCACAGCTGCATAATCGTCGTCTGAGGCGACACTGTCGTACAGAGGCTCGTCGTCGGAGACCTGAGAGCCGTATTTCTCTTTTTTAAGGGCCAAAACTGCTGGATCTGAACGAAAAAAATTAATTTCAAATGTGTCTGGAGGTATTTTTTGGGGGAAATTCAAGAGGGGAAACTGAAATTTTGGATAATTAATGAAGATTCCTTGTTGAGATCGATTGAATGATTTCAAGACACTGGTTAATTATGCAATTATCTCGATAATTATTGACTTGACGAAAAAATGTCAAAGAACATTTTTTGCAGATCAGGGAATTCTCTACAAAAAATGCCGTCTGACATTTTCCCCTAAAACCACTAGTTCTTGAGATAATATCATAGTTAACAAATCGACAAATTCCACTCGACTGTTATTCATGAAGTTCAGTTGAATGTAACAACTGAAATTCATCGATTTAATAAATATCAACAGTCATTCATTGAGATGTCTAAATACTGCTAATTATTCAGTCTATTATCGTTTTTTAAGTCACTCCTTTCATCCGATTTCAATGTCATTGGGCTCATATTGTTCGTTGGAACATTCTGTATTGAGTTACCGTACGGATTTCCCATTTATTAACTTGTAGTGTTATTTTAATTGTTGTATTTTCACATGACAATACCAACCAACTTTTAAATAAATAGTCATAATTCATCATTAGTACATTTATTCGTTTTTTAGTGAAATTGAGAGTTGAATTGATGATTTATTACCTTGCAAGGGCGTCGTGTTGGAGATCATGTGTCTCCTGCCAGCCTCGGTCAGCAGGTCGATAATCAATATCGTGAACTCTTTGGGTGTGAACCTCGCCAGTTTCTGTCGCCCCTGATTCCTCGTGGACGACAAATGTGGATTCACCGGGAGGAAAGGCACTGTCGTCCGCTCTGGAAGACTCGCATGCGACAGCCAAACTACATTCCCAGAAAATCAATTAAAAATGAAATTTTCCAGGTGATCAAGAGGACAACATTCATGAAACGATGAATGAGATGGAATCTAGATGACTCTAAGTGACGAATGATAAATCTGCGAGTGAGCCCATTCTAAGCCTGGGGTCAATAGCAACCCCAATTGTGAGATCAGGTGATTTCCGACGTCAACGACTGGTCAGAACGACATTTTGCCCATTTCAAAATTAAAAAATACAAATAATAAGATGATTTGATAAATAATGGGTCTCATCACTTTGAGAATCTGCATTCTGCGGATAATTTCCCATCCCCTGTCGACGATAGATTATCCGATCAAAAAATCTGATCTGATGCTGATAATTTAGATAATACTTTGTTCATGTTTCGCTCGAGATTTGGAAGAGGCAGCATGAACATGTCGATATTTTGGATCTGCTTTCAACAACGGAACATTTGGCTCAAGGGCTGATCATTCGCGGGGAGACCGTGACATTTCAGGATGAGAATATCTCTCACAAAGTCAAGCTGAATGATAAATATTTCGTTCCAAGTTACAGGGTTGCTATCACATCGTCATTGTTATTCTATTTAAAAATTCATTTCTTGTATTTGAGTATTGAATAGCCGAAACGACAAACAAATAGCAATCTCGTTGAATCATTCATACAAATTTCTCGACCCAAAAATGTAGCTATTCAGTGCGAACAGCTATTTGGTCCTTGTTCAGCATCAAAAAAACATTTTTCGGGACCGAAATAGGTATGCGAGTGATGGAAATGAGATTTCTTGATTGCACAGAAAATGTCCATTTTTTGGAACAATCAAATCTACTTTTGCAAGATGGAAATAACGATTTGTTGGGTCAGTATGGGCTCCCGACCTGAGTTTGGAGGCGAGAATCTCCCTGACCAGATGATGGGGTGGTCCTCCACTCCATACTCTAGAAACATCGCTCAATCGCAGATGTAGACATCACAAAATTTACAAAGACGACGAATGACAGCTACACTATTTTCATTATCCATGAAGAAAAAAAATTTAAGACTTGTTTAGATAATTAGGTAGTTGTTGCTCACCTGTCCCTCTGTAGATGCAGTAAAGAATTCATGCGGATTATTAATTGAAAATAATATCGAACAACTAATAGTGTTAATATGGCCTATCGTGATATTCGGTATAATGAGATGACTATTTAATGATCAGTATCGAATAACATTGATTAACATCGAGTCAACGATTTTGGGAGACTAAACAACTGGTTCAACAGTTCTGCAAGGTCTAAATATCTCTACTGTTGAGGATATCAAAGTGTGGGAGGCTTGAAATTAAATAATTTTTATTAAAACTGCATTCCCAAAAATTTTACTTTTGGATTTTCTCAATTTCAAAATTTCAAAAGGTCTTCTAAACCCAATAATTTTGGAAATAATTGAAGAATTCAGTAGCGAAGTGGTAGAACGGTTTAAGTCGACTCAACTCTCCGTTGAGTTTTTGAGGAATATCTCGGAATCTAAGGGAGATACCCAAATTTTTGTAATCACCTTTTTCGTAGCTCTAAATTCGCCCTTCAAAAAAGGTTATAACAAAAATTTTGCAAACTGCCTTAGATTCCGAGATATTCATTGAAAACTGACGAATAGTAAACATCGACTTGACCTGTTTTACCGGTTCGCTGCTGAATTATTGAAGATTTGCGGAGTAGTTTGGCTGAGGAGTTTTAAGACACCAGTTAACCATGCAATCATCTCGTTAATTATTGATTCAATGAGAAAATTTCAAGACTTTTTTTTTTTAAATGAGGAAATTCTCAATAAAAAATGTCTCTCGACATGAACAAATTTTCCAAAAAAGCTTTTCCTCCCGTTGGATATCCTCAACCCACAGTCCCCCCTCACTCATAATCCCTCATATTTATCTCACCGGCTTCAGTCTCTCGCCTGTCGACCTCATCGTAAACGTCCATGGCCAGTTCCTCCAGCAGATTATTAGGAAGCAGTTGGAGTCGAGTTCTCGCCTCGAAAGCCAGCTCGTTCCTCTCCAGGTTCACCGACCACTCGGGGATGACGAGGTGCTCCTGGGCGCGATGGTCCGGCTTCCTCGAGCACACGAAGAACGTCAGTCTGTCCGTCACCTCGTACATGCACTCTACGAGCCTCTCTGACAGCTCCAGATGCCCTGACATCCTGACGAAGAATCCCAATATTTGTTTTTTTGGATTACGAAAGATAAAAAAAATCCAGATAACAATCGAAAGATAGTAAACCCGGGCCTTAATGCTCAAATTTTGGTTTTACCTCGCAATTTCCATAGGCGTGTGTCCATTAGAATCAACTAAACTTGGATTTCCCCCATTAGCAATGAGCAACTCCACCTGGAGTGTCTGTCCAGCTCTGGCAGCGACATGCAGTGGATTCGTTCCCTTCTCCTTGTAAAAATAATTGGGATTCGCTCCCTGCGCCAGTAACCTCAACGATGTCTCAAGATTTCCAGTTCTCACACTACTGTGGAGCTGCCTACTCAACTCCTCTTCGCTGCAGAATTCGTCTTTACTCGGTCTCAGGATAAACGTCAGCTGCTGGTGCTTGGCGCGGATGAAGTCAGCCTTCACCGGGTGCAGGGGATCTTTGGGCTGTGGCTTACGTCTATTTATTTTTGAATTGCTGGGGTCCATGAGGGAGTGCTCCCAGATACTGTTGGCACCGTTGTCATTCAGGGTGTGAACCATCTGATGAGGGAAACGTCGAAAATGGATTTCCAATTTTAAAAAAGGGGCATTAAAAAATTAATTTTAGAAGACTGGGGTTCGAAGTGACTTTAGCAGATAGTCGAGGGAATTTCTGTCTCCAAACCCTGGTCATGTATCCGTTTTGCCTCGTGCATTGACAAGATATCGGCAAATTTAAAACATTTTAAATGTCTTTGTTAACAGATATAACAATCAAGTGCATGGAGTAACGGTATCACAATGAGCTTGAACTTGAGACTAGTCAGTACAGCTTCAGCCCGGAGGCTATTACACGTATTTCAGATAAAGTTTGCGATTTTTTGTGGCGCTTAAAGTGTATGGGGAAAAAACCGAATATGTTGAGTAGGGAAAAATTTAAGAATGAAAGAAAAAACCCTATTTCATGAGGAGTTCATTTACGGCGTGTTGACCATCTTGAAATCCAGCAGGGGCTGAGTTTATTGATAATGTGATTTGGATGTGAATCAAGGTTTTGTGCAAATTTTTCAGTGAGACGAGATATGAATTCACTGATGTATTCGATATTTGAGATATCGTGGAGGTGTTGGATTGGGGTGCTGCGGTATTCGTTATTAATTACACGTAAAAATTTGTTTTGGGTAATTTGTAGTTTGGAGATGTGTGTCTGTCGCGTTGTGCCAGATTGGGGCGGCATAGGTCAAGATTGGTCTTATCAGAGCTTTATACAGCTTGAGTTTAATGTTTGTGGATGAAGCTTTTGATTTAAATAAATGAAAGAGGCTGCCCATAATGGCTTTAGCTTTTTGGTTTGTTTGGGCTATATGTTGAGTCCAGAGCAATTTTTTGTCTAACGTGAGACCTAGGTATTTCGCTGTGTTAGTAATGTTAATGAGGTTGTTAGAGAGGTAGAAGGATTTATGGTACATTTTTGAAGTCGAGAAGATGACACGCTCCGTCTTGAATTCGTTAACATTGATTTCGTCAAAATTGATTTTTCAATCCAAAAATGAAAATTGCTGATGACATCAGACAGGCTTGATATGTGGAAAGCTAAGCAGCGTTGAGTGTGGTTATCAAGTGGTTATCAGGTGTTGATCATAGAGACCCAAAAAGGTTCATTCAGAAAAAAAAATCGGCCAAGTCCTTACAGAATGTAAGAATGGGTTCCAGACGCTTTTGTGCAACGACTTTATATGTGACACATGTCGCCCGAGGCTCCGGTGTATGCTGCAGCACTCGTCGCATAATAAAATTGCACGGTTCACCGATGCCCATCCTGGCCCTGTCCAAGAAACAGAATGAGGGTAAAAAAAATTGTCAGAACCATGGGAGCAGTTTCTACGCCTCCCAATGACTTACTTCCTGTCTGCGATTTATTTATATACAATCTCAGGGAGCTCTGGGGAACCTAGTAATCACCTTACCCGCGGAAAACTCCAAATATAATATTTCAATTGTTAAATAATTATCAAAACCAAAAACCTGAGATTTATGAATTATTACGATTTTTTTTAAACTATTTTGAAAAATTGTTTCCTGGCACCATGATATGTGAATCGAGATTCATAAATAAATTTTTGATAATTTCAAATATAATATTTTAATTACTAAATTATTATCAAACCTCAAACCCGTGATTTACGAATTGTTACGAAATTTTTCTTTTCTATTTAAAAAAATTATTTCTTGACACCACATGGCCATAATGTCAACCGATGTGAATAAATAAATTGCAATCATGTTAAATAATTTTCTAAAGAATTATTGAAGAAAAATGCCAAGGTGTGCCTTCAATTTCTTGAATGAATTTTTGTTTAGTTGAGAAACAACCCCAAAATGTTTGAAAAAATTTCGAAAAATATTATTGAATGGTTTTGTATTTTTGGACGACACCAATTTGAAAAAAATGTTGATCAACCATTTAAAAAAAAATCAAGTGAAATTTTGATGTGAATCATTGCAAAAATCAAGTGAATCATGAAAGAAGATAGAGTGAATAAACGAAATTAATTTATTCTAATCTTACCAAGAGCTCCGCAATCAGCACAGAGGTCCGAAGTGGCTTTGTACTTGGGTTTAGCCATTCTGATTGACGAATTAAAACCTCGGAACGTTAACCTAACGTTTCCCTCAATATAGTTTCATTCTTCAGCGGTGACAAAATGAACAATTAACAAATAAACATGGATAAACCAAGCGCCATTGATTGCCAATTATTTTTAAGTCCACCCCAGGTATTTTTGACAGGTTAACGATGTGTGAGTGTGGGGGGGACAAAATGGCGGCTGGGAAGTAAATCGGATCGCCATCTGTTGCGGCAATGTAGAACCAAGATGGTATTTAAGAAAGGGGGGGCCCGTTCGTACTTCAGCAACTGTACTCTATTTAGGGTCCCTAGACAGGTCGCCAAGTTCCCTAGATTTTGGTAAAAATTTGAATTTAGAATAATTATTTGGGAGATTTATTGATGTTTTGAGACATCAAATTAAGAGATAATCATGTATTTGTACGTCGTTTAAATTGTCGAGATGTTTAAAGTATTCTTGAGGTGTTCCACGGGGAATTTCCCCGCAGCTGCATTTTTCTAGCCACGTGTTCTTTTCCCGAGTAAATTGTCGCCTCTCGCAGATTTTCGATTGTTATAAATCAGTCGAGACTTTTGGAAATATTGTCTCGATCTCTTCTACGGTTTAATATTGTTTGGGGCCTTTCTCAATTGTCATCGGGTAAATCCGTGTCCTGCCATTGAAATGTTGACCGTTATAAAAGGGAAAATTATAACGGAATACTTGGGTGCACTTTGCTACAGTTTTGCTCGTTATTTTACTTTCCCCAGTTAATCCGCGACCGTCATTTAGTTTATTGAACGTTTAATTATCCCTTTCGGGGGATATTTAATTATCCCGCTACAACCCCCGTTTCATTCCTTAATCTCTGTAATGAAAAAATAAAAACTGCGACAAAAGTGGCGGTGCTATGAAAAACCTAATGGTTTCTCGGCGCGGTGACTCCCGACAACTCGCCCGCTAATTAAAAAATCGTATCTCTGCGCCTAATTGATATTAAGGAATGAAAACAATGCTGTTCGATGGATTTTTCGAGCCGCTCTTTCATTTGAGCCCAAAAAAATTCATATCTTGTCTAACATATCTGCTACAAACTCTGGTGTTCAACTCTGGTTTTCAATTAAAACAACGAAATGGCAAAAAAAAATTAATTTAATTCATATTTTATAGGCTGTAGGAAGAGGAAAAACGCAATTCTGAGCCTTGCATCTGCCTACAGGTAGCTAAAATTTCCTCAGGAATCGAATGGAATAGGTTATAAGGCTCTAGCTCTCATAGTCTCCGAGATAGTCGCGAAAAACGAATTCGCAAAAAAAAAATAATTCAATTTATCTTGTATACGGTGTAGGAAGTGGAAAAACGCAGTTCTGAGCCGTCCATTTTCCTATAAGGCACCCAAATTCGGTTTTAAGGCTCTATCTCTCATAGTTTCCGAGATAGTCGCGAAAAACGAAAGTACCAAAAAAAATTAATATAATTAATCTTGTATAGGGTGTAGAAAGTAGAAAAACGCAATTCTAAGCCGTCTATCTTCCTCTAAGGCACCCAAATTCGGATTTAAGGCTCTATCTCTCGTAGTTTCCGAGATAATCGCGAAAAACGATATCGCCACAAAAAATTAATTTAATTTATCGTTTATAGGGTGTAGGAAGTGGAAAAATGCAATTCTGAGCCGTCGCTCTGCCTATAGAGAACCCAAATTTCCTCAGGAATGGAATGGAGTAGGTTTTAAGGCTCTAGCTCTCATAGTTCCCGAGATAATCGCGAAAAACGATATCGCCACAAAAAATTAATTTAATTTATCGTTTATAGGGTGTAGGAAGTGGAAAAATGCAATTCTGAGCCGTCGCTCTGCCTATAGAGAACCCAAATTTCCTCAGGAATGGAATGGAGTAGGTTTTAAGGCTCTAGCTCTCATAGTTCCCGAGATAATCGCGAAAAACGATATCGCCACAAAAAATTAATTTAATTTATCGTTTATAGGGTGTAGGAAGTGGAAAAATGCAATTCTGAGCCGTCGCTCTGCCTATAGAGAACCCAAATTTCCTCAGGAATGGAATGGAGTAGGTTTTAAGGCTCTAGCTCTCATAGTTCCCGAGATAATCGCGAAAAACGATATCGCCACAAAAAATTAATTTAATTTATCGTTTATAGGGTGTAGGAAGTGGAAAAATGCAATTCTGAGCCGTCGCTCTGCCTATAGAGAACCCAAATTTCCTCAGGAATGGAATGGAGTAGGTTTTAAGGCTCTAGCTCTCATAGTTCCCGAGATAATCGCGAAAAACGATATCGCCACAAAAAATTAATTTAATTTATCGTTTATAGGGTGTAGGAAGTGGAAAAATGCAATTCTGAGCCGTCGCTCTGCCTATAGAGAACCCAAATTTCCTCAGGAATGGAATGGAGTAGGTTTTAAGGCTCTAGCTCTCATAGTTCCCGAGATAATCGCGAAAAACGATATCGCCACAAAAAATTAATTTAATTTATCGTTTATAGGGTGTAGGAAGTGGAAAAATGCAATTCTGAGCCGTCGCTCTGCCTATAGAGAACCCAAATTTCCTCAGGAATGGAATGGAGTAGGTTTTAAGGCTCTAGCTCTCATAGTTCCCGAGATAATCGCGAAAAACGATATCGCCACAAAAAATTAATTTAATTTATCGTTTATAGGGTGTAGGAAGTGGAAAAATGCAATTCTGAGCCGTCGCTCTGCCTATAGAGAACCCAAATTTCCTCAGGAATGGAATGGAGTAGGTTTTAAGGCTCTAGCTCTCATAGTTCCCGAGATAATCGCGAAAAACGATATCGCCACAAAAAATTAATTTAATTTATCGTTTATAGGGTGTAGGAAGTGGAAAAATGCAATTCTGAGCCGTCGCTCTGCCTATAGAGAACCCAAATTTCCTCAGGAATGGAATGGAGTAGGTTTTAAGGCTCTAGCTCTCATAGTTCCCGAGATAATCGCGAAAAACGATATCGCCACAAAAAATTAATTTAATTTATCGTTTATAGGGTGTAGGAAGTGGAAAAATGCAATTCTGAGCCGTCGCTCTGCCTATAGAGAACCCAAATTTCCTCAGGAATGGAATGGAGTAGGTTTTAAGGCTCTAGCTCTCATAGTTCCCGAGATAATCGCGAAAAACGATATCGCCACAAAAAATTAATTTAATTTATCGTTTATAGGGTGTAGGAAGTGGAAAAATGCAATTCTGAGCCGTCGCTCTGCCTATAGAGAACCCAAATTTCCTCAGGAATGGAATGGAGTAGGTTTTAAGGCTCTAGCTCTCATAGTTCCCGAGATAATCGCGAAAAACGATATCGCCACAAAAAATTAATTTAATTTATCGTTTATAGGGTGTAGGAAGTGGAAAAATGCAATTCTGAGCCGTCGCTCTGCCTATAGAGAACCCAAATTTCCTCAGGAATGGAATGGAGTAGGTTTTAAGGCTCTAGCTCTCATAGTTCCCGAGATAATCGCGAAAAACGATATCGCCACAAAAAATTAATTTAATTTATCGTTTATAGGGTGTAGGAAGTGGAAAAATGCAATTCTGAGCCGTCGCTCTGCCTATAGAGAACCCAAATTTCCTCAGGAATGGAATGGAGTAGGTTTTAAGGCTCTAGCTCTCATAGTTCCCGAGATAATCGCGAAAAACGATATCGCCACAAAAAATTAATTTAATTTATCGTTTATAGGGTGTAGGAAGTGGAAAAATGCAATTCTGAGCCGTCGCTCTGCCTATAGAGAACCCAAATTTCCTCAGGAATGGAATGGAGTAGGTTTTAAGGCTCTAGCTCTCATAGTTCCCGAGATAATCGCGAAAAACGATATCGCCACAAAAAATTAATTTAATTTATCGTTTATAGGGTGTAGGAAGTGGAAAAATGCAATTCTGAGCCGTCGCTCTGCCTATAGAGAACCCAAATTTCCTCAGGAATGGAATGGAGTAGGTTTTAAGGCTCTAGCTCTCATAGTTCCCGAGATAATCGCGAAAAACGATATCGCCACAAAAAATTAATTTAATTTATCGTTTATAGGGTGTAGGAAGTGGAAAAATGCAATTCTGAGCCGTCGCTCTGCCTATAGAGAACCCAAATTTCCTCAGGAATGGAATGGAGTAGGTTTTAAGGCTCTAGCTCTCATAGTTCCCGAGATAATCGCGAAAAACGATATCGCCACAAAAAATTAATTTAATTTATCGTTTATAGGGTGTAGGAAGTGGAAAAATGCAATTCTGAGCCGTCGCTCTGCCTATAGAGAACCCAAATTTCCTCAGGAATGGAATGGAGTAGGTTTTAAGGCTCTAGCTCTCATAGTTCCCGAGATAATCGCGAAAAACGATATCGCCACAAAAAATTAATTTAATTTATCGTTTATAGGGTGTAGGAAGTGGAAAAATGCAATTCTGAGCCGTCGCTCTGCCTATAGAGAACCCAAATTTCCTCAGGAATGGAATGGAGTAGGTTTTAAGGCTCTAGCTCTCATAGTTCCCGAGATAATCGCGAAAAACGATATCGCCACAAAAAATTAATTTAATTTATCGTTTATAGGGTGTAGGAAGTGGAAAAATGCAATTCTGAGCCGTCGCTCTGCCTATAGAGAACCCAAATTTCCTCAGGAATGGAATGGAGTAGGTTTTAAGGCTCTAGCTCTCATAGTTCCCGAGATAATCGCGAAAAACGATATCGCCACAAAAAATTAATTTAATTTATCGTTTATAGGGTGTAGGAAGTGGAAAAATGCAATTCTGAGCCGTCGCTCTGCCTATAGAGAACCCAAATTTCCTCAGGAATGGAATGGAGTAGGTTTTAAGGCTCTAGCTCTCATAGTTCCCGAGATAATCGCGAAAAACGATATCGCCACAAAAAATTAATTTAATTTATCGTTTATAGGGTGTAGGAAGTGGAAAAATGCAATTCTGAGCCGTCGCTCTGCCTATAGAGAACCCAAATTTCCTCAGGAATGGAATGGAGTAGGTTTTAAGGCTCTAGCTCTCATAGTTCCCGAGATAATCGCGAAAAACGATATCGCCACAAAAAATTAATTTAATTTATCGTTTATAGGGTGTAGGAAGTGGAAAAATGCAATTCTGAGCCGTCGCTCTGCCTATAGAGAACCCAAATTTCCTCAGGAATGGAATGGAGTAGGTTTTAAGGCTCTAGCTCTCATAGTTCCCGAGATAATCGCGAAAAA